TCCAGAACTGTAACTTTATTGAAAGGTCGTGTAGCTGCAGTGTGAAGTGATTGATCGTGAACATCCATGAAAGGTGCCAGGCAGCCTCAGAGGCTGTGCTCAAGAAAGGCCGATTCCCCGTGACATTTGCGAGCTGAGCAAAGATGACTTCAGATCAAAAACTAAATGAAAATTTAACTATTTTACTGGTGACCGAAGGACTGCTGTTGTGAAATGAAACATTAACAACAGGGTGAGAGCGAGCCAGGATTGCTCAACAAGGTTCGTCTCCAGGCACAACAGAGCTGGGGTCGTCCAACGCGCAGGAATCGTCCGGCATGGCAGAGGGGGACGGCACGCCGCGGGCTGCCAAGGAACCCCAGGCTGGTGAGAGAATTTAAAAAGACTTCTTGCTAATCCTAGGAGAAAGTGAAAGTAAAAAGGTGTGAGAAGGAATGAGAAGTTTCTTGGATTGTTACAGGTTGACTAGGGACCAGATGACAATCACTTAAATACAGATTAGGTACTGTATATTGTTAGTGGTATTAATCTAAATACCTTTACAGTTTTGAGTCTGTAAAGGCTGATGAATAGAGAGGAGGGATGTGGGTTTGAAGGCCCCTGGCATATTTTCCTGGTTGTTCAAATGATTTTATACATCATTTTCTTAAATTGCTTTGAAGTTTGGGAGAAGTCTGCAGGCAATGGAAACCAGTCTTGATCTGTCTAAATCAGTTAAGCCCTGCTCTTTCTTGTGATCAAAGAGTTGGTGAAAATAAGCCAGATGAGACCTAGAGAGGTTATCATGTCCTTCCAGGGTCTGGTCATTAAGCCCTAAGTGTTGCTGGCACACATTCTTCTAGCTTCTTAAAACCTTATCTCAAAAATCGAGAAAGAGGAGAGAAATGCATATGTGGTAAAAGGGCTATAAAAGTATGGCCAGTGTCTATGAATTAAAAATAAGAGTCATTATTAAGAGACGAGTGTGGCTGAGCTGAAAATTAGGAAGGGATCGTACCACAAGATGAATGCAGGTAAAAATGAAGAGATTAGTTGAGTATAAGCAGATTAAGGTGCACAGTACTGCAGCAGGGAACAGTGAGAACATGGGGTTTGTAAAAGCAGTGGGAAAATGCCGATTTTCTTCCTGAGGATTTGGGAACCAGAAAAAATTAAATTATGAACTCAAAGTCATAGCAAAATCTATTCATGGGAACTTCTGGCTATACGAGGTGTCTGGTAGCTGAATATTACATTTAAGCATGAATCATCCTGCAGACTCCTCACTTGCATAAAGGATAACTTAGAAAAGAGGAAATTATACAGAAAGCAGTCCTCGCTTTTGTGCTTACCAGGTGAAATTGTTTGGCACAAGATTTTCACAGAAATTCAAGAGGACTCCTCATCCATCTGCCTGTGCTGGGACAGGACCTGATATTTATCCAGTCCCTACTACATTCTTATATAACAGAGATCATAGCTTGCCTGAATCCTGAAGCCCCAGCCACACCATCTCTGTTCCAGTGCTTATCTGTCCTTGTTGGTACGGAAATTGGAAAAAGGAGCCCAAATCGTCTTTACTGAAAATAAAGTCAGTTGTTTCTCTCATCCTTGATGAAAATGGAGAACAGTTGGTCTCTGTGGCTGTTTTTCCTGTCAGTGGATAGGATTAGTGTCCGGTAGTCATCTTCTCCAAATGCCATCTTTTTCATTTCAGAACTGCAAAATGGTTTCTCCCGTTTTGCAATACACCAGTTTGAGTTCATACTCTGTTTTCCCCCATGCTTCTCCATCCTGGTTTGGGGCACAAAGGAGAGCAGCACACTGGCTGTGCAGGTGTTCTCTTTGCTCATGGAAAAGCTGAGCACCTGCATGTTTTGTGCTTTCCTAGTCTGATGGAAAATCATTGATAGCTGCTCTGAGAGGGATTTCCCAGTTGTCCACTACATGGGCATTTCATCTGGGCTTTATTTCCTTGTGAGACATTGGAGAAACTCGAGTTAGGATATACCACATACAGAGCTGCTCTGGCTGTTATGCCACTTACCCTGTCACCAAAATAAAAATCAGTCTGGTTTGAGAGCATTTTTTCCAATCTGAAATGGCTGTTTTGTAATTCTTACTCTTCTTTTGGTGCTTACAAGGGATTATGTGATCAAGTATCTCTCCAACTATGGAGGAACACCCCTAGATTGTACTAATCTGCCTTTTTAACGGCAGTGGTGATGCTTGTCGTGCTTCTGCCCCCCACATGGGAAGTGCCTGAGTGTATGATATTCAGCACTTGAAGGTGAATTTCATTAGGCTCTAATGATCTGGGCACATTTGAGGTATCCAAATATTATTTAAGCATATTCTCCCATATGTTTCACCCATATTCCCATTCGTTCATTTTAATGGTGTTGGGCATCTTGTTGCTCTTTTTTTAGTGGAAACAAACGAAAAGGACACAACTTTTCTGGCTTCTGTGGATGAGCTTTTGTTTGCTTGTTTTCTGGTTTAAATAACAGCCTTTCATTTTCCTTCCTCTTTCTCCAGTATTGACAGCATTTCTAACACCTTTTCTTATTGCCTTTTGTGTCCCCCTGCTAGCTGTAATTCATTTTGTGCCTTAGCTTTGCAGCCTCTACCGCTCCGTGTTTGATGTGTTTGTTTTTAGTCATCTTCAGAAATGCCACCTCATTTCCATTTGTGGTACAATTCCTTCCTGATTTTCAGCCCAGCTGCACAGGTCTCCTTCTATCAGCTATTATTCTGTATCTGTATCTGATGCGCTTGCAGAGTTATTCTCCCTGACTCGTTTTTTGTTGTTTGCTACGAGTTACCATTTATTGCCAGACATTTGAATTCCTTTTCTCCCTTTCTGTCTGTGAAGACCTTCTGGCAGCTAATGGCCTAAAGAGCTCTGCAGTGTATTAGACAAGTAGTATGTTAATCCTACTGACTGATGGGGTTTTTCATGCTAGTATTAAAAGAAATAATCATTTAGCTTATGTGACACACAGGGCTGTATACACACAGAGGAAATACAGCTGCAGAAGGCTGAAAGTATTAAGGCATCACATTGCAGCAGTGTGGGAGCTCGGTGCAAGAGACAGTGAAACCTCTTCTGTCTTCCTTTTGTATTACTCCTTTAATAACTCTGCTGCTGTGTTTGCTCTGCTCGCCTGTGTATGGCAGAATACAGCAGGTTTCTATCGGGAGTTGTATAGAAATACTTGGAGCAGTAACAGATGCCACCAGAGGACTCAGAAATATTCTCTATCACAGGGTCAGACTTGCAGGACACAAGAGTATGTGCTACCCTGGTGTGCAGGAAAGAGGACCAACGTGCACAAGTCCTGTTCCTTGCACTGCTCCCAGCACTGGGTCTGCCTTTGAGTCACTCTTGTCCATGCAGTGGGCTTGACAAACCTGAGCTCACTGGAGGCTGGACCCAGTGAAAAGGTTGTGTGGGTGTGCAGACCACTAGAGGGGCTGAAGATGAGGAGCTGGTGTGTGGCAGTGCAGGAGAGGTATCAAACTGTTGCTTTGCTGCTGCTGTAGAAGAATAAAGGAGTAAGGAGTGGGTAGACCTTCCTGGCCCCATATGAAGTTTGAGTTTCATGTTTAGTTGCCCAGTGAACAGGATCCCTGGGGATTTTCTGAGAAAGCAATGCCTGGGCATATAAGGGAATGTGGAGAGTAATTAGGCTTCCTCTGCACTCTTGTCACGTCTGATTCCTTTGTCTGAATGTTCTCCATGTCTTGTTAGCAACTACTGAAGCCAGATTAAGGATCTGTAGTGTGAGCAAAGGCCTGTGTCCTGGTTTGTCAACTGCAAACCTGGTTCTTCTGATGCCCAAGCACAATCGTCAGGAAGTTGATGCTGGAGCTAAGGATGAGTTTATGGAACCTCCTTGTATCGGCTATGGATTCTGGGTGTGGTATGTGCTTTGCTGACAAGAGAAGGGAGAAATATTTGGAAAATTCTTTGAACGTTTGCCTTTTAAAGAAGCCAAGCATAAGAGGGAGAAAAAAAACACTGTACTGTGCCAAGGATACTGCAGAGACATAACTGCTGAGGATAGTTTATGGGAAGGTTGTGAATTTTGCTTCGTAATTGCAACTGGCACTGGAAGAATATTGATGAAGAGCTCCACTATTCCTGTGGGAAGGGCATGGAAGGAAGGACATCAGAGTACCTGCGGGGAGCTGAGCCCACATAGCTGCAGGGGGAGTCCTGGGACTCCCAGCACAAATAGGCTGCATTTGCTACTTAATGAGTCCTGAGGTGTTCTTTTGGATAATAGAAAATAGAGACGGGGTTTGGGGCTGCTCCTGAGTGCTGGCTGTGCCCCCTTGATTAAACTGCCCCATGGGAAAAGATAAGGTCATTCCAGGGAATTGGTGTGAGAATGAACCCTGGGTCACTTCACTCCTGAAATGATTTAACACAGTGCAGGCATCCATGACATCCAGTGTCCAGGGGTTTGGTGTGATGAGCACTTTAGTAGTTTATAACTTGAAATGTGTAACTTTTCAGTGGAATGAGATCCCTGCAGAGTAAACCTGTCATTACCACATCGGGAGGGAGATGCACACTCTGCTCCTAAATCCACAGGCTGTAGGTGTATCTGGGACCTGGGATTTTTATTCAGCTCACATCTGCGCAGCCTACAGTGCCGTGCTGGCCTGGTGCACGTACCATGGCTGGGGGCATGCCAAAAAAACAGGGAGGTCTGTGGCACAAAGTGCTGACAGCCCCAACCTGTCAGTGATTTAGGCCGTGTTCCCTGGCTCTTCTTGAACTCTGCAGTTGTCTTTCCGGGTAGCATCTCCCTCCCCTTTCTGCCCTGGCTGCACAAATGTGCTCAATTAGGGTTAACTCAAACTGAATCAAACTTCGTGCCTGAGGTTGGAAATCTTCCCAGTCAACTCACCACAGCCACATAGCATGGTGGGAGACAAGGCGAGAGGGGAGATGAACGCTTTTCAGAGAAATGAATCCAAGGAAACTTTGTTCAATTTTATGTCTGCAGGAGATGATCCCCCCAAAGGAGATTTCCCTCTTCGGAAAAAATCCCCGGTGAGTGTTACTGCTGGTTGCCTTTGCTTTGCTTTCTGCTCAGATTGCTCTAAACATTGCAAGATCTCTCTGTTCTCTCCTCTGTTGTGCTCTGGCTAGAGACAAACACCCTTTTTTGTAGAGCGTTGAAATAAGCATTAACAACTCAAGGAAAAAATCCTTCCACTAACCTGATTAAGTTAAGAAAGTGCAGCTTAAAGGGGAAATACTAACTGTCTGAATGTTTGGGGAAAAGGGTAAGGGTTTTGATTGCTGTCTTTTTCCTGTGCACTACTTTTCTTATGGGAAAGGACTTAGTTCTCTGAAGTAGAGAGGGATGTTGTGCATGGGACAGAGAGAGCTGACCCCTGTATTTGTTTGGTTTGATGAAACCCACCAGGGAAGGGTCCCCAGATGCTGCAAAGCAGAAGGAAGGACAGGAACTGAGGACAGGCCACTGCTGAGTTTTAGAGTCCAACTATAGTGCCAGAGCCTTGAGTTTACATCTTTAGCTCTGATTTAAAGCCTGATTCAGGTGAATATATTGCTGCCTTGCAGGTTTGATGTTTGTGCAGGTTTTCAGCCTAATTCTGGTTGAGTGCTTGACCCCTAAAAACTATTCACTGCATTGGATTGAGGGGGAACTTGGCTTGTATTGTAGCTGCTTTGACTTGCAGGATAATACGTAATACTTGGTCTTAAAACTCACAGTCATGTCATTAGCAAGCCAACTGTTTAATTCACAATTATAAGTACTGTGCAGACATTAACTATTGGATATCCAGAGCTCCTTGGAAATATTAATCTTTATCCCATTTTGCAGCTAGTCAGCAAGGAGGACATGTGAAAACAAAGGTCTCCTGTAGCAGGCACTTTAAACGAACTATCTTTTTTCCAAAGACACAAACTATAAACTTCCACAGTATCTTTAAGAGGTCCATAATCCCGCAGATCCCAGGCTTGCTGTGGTAGCTAAGCGCTGCAGACTATCTGAATCCAGGCTTAACCTCTTTGCTTTTGCTGGGGCTCTCTGCTGAGCAAGGTTCTCCTCTGCAAAAGCGAGCAAACCGCACCTGGCTCTCTGCATGGATGAAAGCTTCCCACTTTTGGATGTCCAGGCAGGCCACAGGCAGGTCAGTGAAACAGCGGAGAGAAAACACGAGGGTTTCTGCAAGTGCTGATACCATCTGATGTCATGCAAGCCAGATGGAAGTACCCCTGCTTGTAAGTCGTTGATGTGTGTTTGTAAGCACTTACTCAGGGTCCTGGCTCAGGCGCTGGGGAGGTTTAGCTTGGAAGTCACCGCCCTCTGCTCTCCTTTCCTTTCTTGCCCCTATTCATCTGTAGGAGGTGCCCATCCCAGAGCAGGAGTGGCTGAAATGAGTCACTGCACCTTCAACCACTGGAGCTGAATCCACCGGGGCTTGTGCACTGGGTGTGGAGGGGTGAGTTCAGGCAGCAGCACTCCTGACACCTGGGTTTGAATAGTCACGCTCTGCATCTCCATCAAATGTTATGAAATCTGTGAGAGAGAGGAAGAAAAAGAATCCCCGCTGTACAGTTTTACTTCAAAGTTCAGAAAATGCCTCCCAGCACCCACAGGAAACATAATTTGCCTCTTATGGCTTTTCTTCTTTTATGATGAAAAACCTGTTGTAGGAAGGTATTCTGTGTGTGCTTATGTTTGTGTGTTTGTGCATTTACAGCCTATGTATGCCACTGGTTTTAGGCTAGTCTAAAAGCAGGACGCCCCACTGCTGTTTCCAAGGGAGCCCACTCTTTCTTACAAGCCATATGCTGAACATGATGGTTTCAGAGTAAATAATAAATGTAATGGATAATTATGTATTTACTCTAGTAAAGCAAACAGTCCAAGGGTTTCTTATTAAAAAGGCAACCCATAAATAGTGAGAGAAGTATATATATATAAAAGAGGGAGAGAAATATTTATCTTTAGAGATGCTTGGTTAAGTAATGGAAAGTGGGGTGGGGGAAGTTATGGTTTGGTTTTGTTTTGGGTTTTTTTTGACAATCAGTTGCTTTTGTTGCTCTTTTATAATGTTGAGCAAGACAGCATAATTAGGCTAGGCTCTTCTAAAGTTGGTGCTGTTGCTTTGGAAATCCAAATATGCCTAAGTCTCATGGTGGTGAAATAAACCCGAATGAACACATCTATTTTGGTACCTGTATTTACATTTGGTACTCTGGGAAGAAGTACAGGAATTCATTATTTCCAACACGTGGCACAGAAATGCATGTGAAGAGTTCACCTCACTTCACTGGCCCATACCATGGGTGTTTAAAACCATAAGTGCAGCTGTTAACATCACAGTCCCCCCAATCCCTCACCAAAAGCATGGCCAGCCCTTCTCTCCTGCTAATTGGCAGAGGCTGGGCAGTGCTGTGAAAACCTGCTTTCCTGTTGCGAGGCAGTGGAGCTACTTAAGCAGCTGGAAGCTGAAAGCTGCTTAGCACAGACCACTGTGGGGTAGCAAGAGGGACGGGGGCCCACACAAGATCATGCCAAAACTCATCTGTTTAATGCTTTCTATTTCACTTGGGAGCTGCTGATTTTAGCTGGAGTAAAGTCAGGTTCAGCAAGAGGGTGTCCACCCTCAGACAGGTTCGACAGTCACATCGCTGTATTTTTTTAGTTTTGATTAATAAATTGAATTATCCGTAGCTGTGCCAGCAATCTTGGAATATGAAATGGATGTGATGCCTGAGGGAGTGCTGGACACAGGGCTGATGTTCTGCTTCAGTGAATGTGACGGCACAGTTTGGTGCAAGTGAGGTGCAGGGATTGAGGGCAGTTGTCACATGGGAGGGAGCAGCTTCACACACAGAAGCAGACAGCAAATCTCTGGGGTCTCCCAACTTGGAGGCGAGGTCTGGTGCTAGAAGAGGGAGCAGTTTTTGGGCAGGGTAGTAGCTTTATATGAAGTGTAGAACAAAAGGCATCTGAATGTGTTTTTTCATCTCAGTGACTTTTTGCATTGCAGTAGGGAGGTGGTAGCACCCTTCCAGTGGAGTTCCTGGAGCTACAAGCATGGAGGGCTGCTGACAGCCCACTCATTCCCATGGCAGTCCTTACTGGGCCCATGTCAGCCAGGCTGATTCACTGGGGAGCCTTAACCAAAGCAAGAGTAGTGTGAGGTCCACTCTTTCCTTTGAGTCCAATTCACAGTCCGGTCAAGCAGCAGTTGGCACCTGGTTTTTGGACTGGACTCTTCTCTACCATCCAGGTGCTGTGGGGATATGTTGCTGGGGTAAAGACTTCTACCCAGCTGATATGTTGTTCTTTGTCTCCCACAGAAACTCTGTGGCTCCAACTACCCCCTGAGCATTGCCTTCATTGTGGTGAATGAGTTCTGTGAGCGCTTCTCCTACTATGGCATGAGAGGTATGTGACCTGAGTCTGGGAGGTGACTTTCCCATCCTAGGGTTTCTATACACACTGGTGTTCTGGGGCTGTCCTGTATGTGGTCTGAGCTGTCTTTCAAAGTAAATTGGTATTTTGGAATGCAAGTACGAAGAGTGTACCCTGACATTGTTGCTGTATCTGCTCTGAGCAGAAGTTGGGACTAGGGGGCTTCAAATGTACCTTCCAGTCTAAATTTTTAAATAATTCTCTTTATCACACCTGGTTTTCTAGTGTGTCATGTCTTTCATAGCTGTGTGCAATCTGTGTGTTTGGAAATTGAATCTTACAGAAAATGTGCATAAACAAACTGCAGCAAGATAAGCTAGAGAATATATATTTTTCAGGTAAGCATAAATGTTTATGAGCAAAGAATGCATGATACTCATATATCTCATTTTAGCTTTTCCTGTGTCAGAGATTATGAGGAACAGGTCTGAAAGCACAAATATTTCCGCAGCAGTGCTCACAGTTGCTAGGCAAGGCAGTGGTTTTCTTGCCACCATGATTCTGCTTACCTGCAGAGATACACATTAATTATCTGATGTGATTTGCTTGTTTCCTTTTAGCTGTCCTGACACTGTATTTCCTGAGCTTCTTCCACTGGGATGAGAATCTCTCCACCGCTGTGTACCACGCCTTCTCCGCGCTATGTTATTTCACACCTGTCATCGGAGCCATCATGGCAGACTCGTGGCTGGGGAAATACAAGTAAGTGAAGACACCTCTCTAATTCAGTCAGCACGCATCCACACCGTGCAGCCTGTGCAAGGGCAGTGCTGTGCGTGCTCCCAGTTTTGAACTGGCTCAGAGTGCAGCAAAGACACACTTGGGAAGGTCAGCTCCCCTCTGTTGACAGCTGATGTCTGCTCATGCTGTTCTGTGCTCCTCTTAACCCAAGGGCCAACAGGCAACAAAGTTGGAACAAATTAATTGCAACAAATGTGCTTTTCCTCCACTACCCTTCCCTACACTGTTCAGGAAGCTGATATGTAGGGTGATTAACCCTCAGTTTGCCAAGATCTTCTTCTGGGAAGGATTCAGAGTTAATGAGGAACCCATGACATCATTTAGATCTTGCTGTTTCAGATCAAATGGCACTAACGATTTAAATGACACTAACTATTGTGTACTTACTTAGGCTTTTCACAGCATAGGAAATGTGTGAGCACACCCATTTTTATCCTGAAAAACCTGGGTTCACTCAAATCATCTCCATGAGAACATAACCAGGTAAACTCTTCCTGAGTAAGAGTCCTTAGTCGGTCTTCCCTTCTGATGATAATTTGTGGAGCCAACGTCTGCCCCAGAGTGGTGGTGAGCAGCTGGATTTAGGACTTTCTTTGCTTGGCACTGTTTGTTCATTGTCTGAGGAGTCATGGCTGTCAGGGCGATAAAATGCAGCCAAACCCTTCTCTGTAGGACTACACACATCTGGCAGAAGAGTCTCAGCAGGAAATAAACAACTGCCATATGCCTTTCCAGAAGAAAGTTGTTAAGCAGATATCCATGTTCTTTTCTTCCCTGTTCTCAATTTTAGTAATTCTCTTATCGCTTTCAGTGAAAAAAGAAACAGTGAGGGTTTATTAACTTCATTATTTAAGGTCACCTAGCAATGTTCATTGGTATTTGAGGATGTCTGTTGTGCGGCATGATGTAGTGAGAAGGTAAATCCTTACACAGACTTTGGTGTGTTAGGCAAGAGACTTTCCCTGGAGTAATCCCTATAGTTTAATAGGGAGGTGGCTTTTGCTGTAGTAGCTGGACCTCAGCCAATACCAAGGACAGGATAACAGATTAGAGGGGCTTTTAGGAGTGATCTGATGTGGCTCTAAATTAGCTGTTACAACCAGGGTTTGAATGCATTGGGGATCACTTCCATGCTCAAAGCTCCTTAGACTTTTAGTGTCTCTGTCCTAACAAGTCCTTTCATTCCCTCTGTATGTGTCATCTGCGCATTAAATACATAGATGTCTCTTAATCCTGAAGGTAATGAAGAAATATAATACACTCAAAGAGCCTGATTGTCCTACTCAGATTTCTTCTTCTCCCTCACCAACACATGGGAGGCAGATAGATGAGCTCAGTCCTTCAGAGGTCCTTTAGTTTCCTACTTGGGATCTAAAACAAACTTACAATGGGGAAACCACACTCCTAATTCAGATGTGTTGGTTAGGTGAATTGACTGTCCCTAGGGATGCCTTCAGTCAAGGGATTCACTTAGGCACGTGCTACAAAATGCCAGTTATTAGTAATCTGGAGACTGAGTTGGAATGGAACAGTATGTTCCTCTATGCAGCCTTCCATGCATGACAAGACTGAAACACTTTTAGTTTATTCTGCTTGGTAAAGTCTGCAAACAAAGCAGGGGCTATCCCTCCTTAATCTGAACCCATTTGCCTATCTGTCTCTTCTAGCGCACTCAGAGCTGGCACAAAGGAGTTATAGCTGCCTACTGTACCAGTAGTGGAACAAACCAGCTCCTTGTGTGTCTGCCAAGTAGAGCTGCTGTATCAGGAAGCACGGGCACACTCTGTTTTCGGATTGTACATCACCCGGCACCTTCAGTCATTGCTGTTTGCTTTCCTCACAGGACGATCATCTACCTCTCCATTGTGTATGTTGTTGGCCATCTGATAAAGTCAGTCGGTGCCATTCCATCCCTGGGCAACCAGGCGGTTCATGTGTAAGTAGCCGTTGAAGCCACAGTGCTGTAGCAGGTTGTGATGGTGGTTGGTTTACTCAGGACTGTGCTTAACCTCCATCAGGCCAGCGTTTTGGGGGCTGTGCATGGATTACTTTCATCAGGGAAGGGCTAGGGATGTTCTGAGTAAGAGCAGAAGGGTGGATCTAGTGTGCAAATGCACTAGATAGAGTTGGAAATCTCCACAGAGATTCTAAACCTTTTGCCACAGGCACCTGTGATCACCCCTCTCTGCTATACCATGCTACTAGGTCTGGTCTCCTCCATCCAACCTCCCTGCTCTGGACTCATTCCTCCCGCATTTCATCAACATAGCTGCCCAGCTCAGCAAGGTTCCCCAGTGTGCATGGGAACACCAAAAATGCATTTTCTGATAACAGAAGGGTCTGTGTCTTCCACTGGATACAACCCTTCTTGCCCTCTGGATTCTGAACTGGTAGGCTTGTCAGAGTAGTGTCTCTGAAACCACCAAGCTGTTTTTGGCTGTGTGGTGACAGTTCTGAAAAAAACAAAAGTACATGCAGGCAAGAGCACATGTAGTTTACAGAACAATTTTCTTTTGTCCCAGATGTGGCCAGTCCTGACATCTTGTTCCCTGCAGACATAATCTGCCCGGCCAATAATGGTATTTTGAAGACCACTGGGAAGTAGAAAACAGCCAGGAATGAGCCTGTTTCAAATAGTTTGTCTGCACTTACCCCAGCAGGAAGGCTACAGGAGAAGACACTTTCCCTTCCCCCACCATTTTTTTTTTTCTTTTTTTCAATTGATCTGTGAAATCTTTTGGTGTCATATGAGTGAAAAATAATCCCACAGATCTTTGATTTCCTGTATGTCCATTGGGCCTCAGAACAACAAGAAACTGACAAAACCAGTTTGGTTAATTGTCTGGTACTGAATGCAGAAGTTAGGGTAGTTAATTTGTTTTTCACACTTTGCTGGCTTATCATCACTACCCATGTGCAAAAGGCAACGTTATCAGAGGAATCGTAGTGGGCTGACATTTAAAATGCTCTCATAAACACTGGAAAGGTTTTACAGTGGTGGTATTTTTTTTCCTTGCATGAAGGGTCCTGTCTATGGTTGGTCTGTTTTTGATCGCCCTTGGAACAGGAGGTATCAAGCCCTGTGTCTCTGCATTTGGGGGGGACCAGTTTGAAGAGGAACATGTAAGATTTCTTTTATTTTTTAAAATCTGCAGTGTCTGCTTACTTTATGAGGATGTTTTTGTGATCGAATCCTGTTGTGCTAGAAGAACAAGGGCCAGTTTGCTGGAAAAGAAGTAGTATGATGTGAGGAAGGGTGGTTTGCATAAGACTTGAGAGAATCTGGATGCTTCAGGAAAGGAAAATGACAGCAGAACAGGACTGATATTGGAGAAGATAGGTCATAAGTGCATCAAATCATCTAAATGTTAATTGGACATCAGAGTAGTTGGAAAATCCTGTCTCGTTTATCATGGAACTGTAGCCATTTCTGAACCAGCTCAGCAGGGGTGATTATAATGCATTGCAATGGAACACAGCAAAGGGAAGAAAAAAATTTTGTCACCAGCCTATGATTCCATGGGAATTTTTCCTCAAATCATAATCTGTTTCTTAGATGTTGTTCAGAAAGAACTGTAGGAAATTCCAGTCTTTTGAAAGTAGTGCCAGAATGTTTTCTAGATATTCCAGAACGGAAAATTCTAAAGAGTTGTGAAAATGTTTCTGTTTAGCTCTGCTTGTGCTTTGTATCCTGTGAATTGTAGTCCGGTTGCCTCGTGTCCTCATTCTCTGTCATAAGTGCTTAGCCCCTCATCTGCACTAATCTCATACTCCCGTTATGCAGCACAGGGGCTCAGCTAGGGATAAGGTAGCGCTTAAAGAAGCGAAGCAGGTCAGGAAGTGCTAATCCTCAGGCAAAATGCTAAATTTTAAAATTGACCTGAAACTAAACAGATGTATGTTGACCTAAAACACAAATAAAAAAAATTCCGTTTTCTCAGTGACAGTATTCAAATCAACAAGTTCTGCTCATAGCAGAAGTCCTCAAATATGTCGAAGGCCGCTTCGACAAAAGAAAAAAAAAGAAAATAAGTGTGGGAGTCTGTGATGAGTAGGATTATATTCAAGGAGAATTATTTAGGAGTGACAGTACAAAATAATACTGGAAATACTGGAAAATATTAGGATCTTTGGGAGATGGAAATTCACATCAATGGAATTCCAGTCCTTCATTGAAGAAGGGAATTAGATTAGTTGTCTGTCATTAAAACATTGGTAGAGTTGAACAAGAATTGGCCCCTTGTCCTTGGACAAGGAGCTGCATAGAGCAGTTTTTTCTTTGTCTTTTGCAATGCCCCAATACGTCGTCAGCATTTAATGAACTAACAATATAGACTAGATTTAAAACTTTTTGAAGACTTGTGCTTTGTGCACATGAACTGTGTGATGCTGAAGTAGTGAAGCTTATGGTTACTAAGGAGAAACAGATCATGGGATGTTTCATGGTCACTTGTCCAAAGCATAACGTTTTGCAGGCGTGACCATCCTGGGCTGTCAGTTGGATCCAAAAGGATTCTAACTCGTGTTAGAGCAGCATTTACAGAAGTGCTACTTCTATGAATATTAATAATTAATAATGTTTATCCAGCATCTTTCAATTACCACCTAATTACAGTATGATAATATGTACCACTTATCTTCAGAGTGTTTTATAGACTTCAGCTAATGAATCTTAGCACCCCAGTCAGGCACATACATATTATTATCCCAAACTTGCAACCACAGCTGTTACAGAGAAAAAACCTGAATTGTCTGTGGTTGCCTGTACCCATTTTTCAGCATTCAGACTACATCTCTCCAACAAATTTATCAAATACTAAGTCTCAAACATTCACCTGTGTGTTACCTTCAAGAAAAACAAATTTAGAGGAAGAAAACTGTAAAAAGCATTCTGATAAGGACAATGTGTTCTGGTCTATTCATTCTTTTCAGAATAGAAAGTTTTCTATTTTACCATTTTGAAATTACTTGGCCTTTCAGAAGAAACAAATGTTTTATGCTATGTGATAGGAAGTTTAAGTCTTCAGAATTGGAATGAGAATTTGTAAGAAATAAAAGGTTCGAGGCCACCACAATATTTCTTCCCTCTGTAGTGGTGTTTGAGGGGACTTATGTTCTTCTTCTTCCACTCCAGGTAGAATGAAATAAGTTTTGAAAATTCCCTATTAAATGAAGCATTTGATTCTCCCTTAGTTTTCAGGAATAAATTTCAGCTGAGTCCTAAAGTGCACAGGCTTAGTTGTTCAGTCTGAAAGCTAAGGATGAGGTAGTTTTGTGTATAAAACAATAAATTGCCCCTGAGACAAGTTTATGTTTTGAGGTAAATGCGCAACATCAGTCTGATCCTCTTTTGAGTACTTTATGAGCGTAATAGTCTTGGATCTGCCACTTTGAGAACAGTACTGCTGCAGACAGTGATGGAGAGTGATTTGGCAGGAGGTCAGATAGGGAAAGTAGATTTATCTACAGGAGATTTCCAAACATCTTTGTGTATGGTATTAGGAGTCCTGGTTAAAATACCTGAACAAAATTATATTTATGATATTTTATATGAATGTGGAGCTGCTCTGCATATTAATTAGGGACCAAAGCTGCTTTCAAACAGTGCAGTATGGTGTTTAAGGTACTAAATAGCTTTCTCTTTGTTTCTTTATTTTCTGGTTGCCAAGGAGATCAGGATTATCATGTATGGTACATTTTCTCAAATTAGCTAATCCAAATCATGTTGTTAATGTACGTCTGCCCCAAAGATTAAGACAATAAGGAAGGAATTAATTTTTTTCTATCAGTGTAATTTGCAAGCTGCTGGGTCATTATTTTTGTAGCCTTTCTCTGACCATTTTTTTTCCCATTGCTGAAATCAGAAAAGGTGTGAAATAAGGTGCTCCAAAGTCTTTATGCATCACTATCCTCTTTTCTTTACCATCACATTCTTTCTGGTAATTGTTGCTCTAGACTTTATCATGTCAAGAGCTGCATGCTTGAGTTTATTACAGCTCTCAGAAATTCTGAGTTGCTCAAATATAAAGAGTTAGAGACATGGCATGAGAATTTTGACTAGAAAGAGAGTAGGAGAGAGTAGGACTGTGAGGATTCTACTGCACCACACTTGACAAGCCATGGCAGGGCTATTCCAGGAGTGGGTTAGATTGCTGAGGCTGCTCATTTCTCTAGATTTCCTCATGATGACAAATATCCAATCACAAAAGTAGAATGAAAAAGAAAATACACTTCTACTATTTTAGCAGTAGAAAGTTTCAGGTAATCAAAACCATTGTTAAGGACAGAAATAGATTATAGCAGATAGTAAGACCCAGCGCTGTTTTCTGTTAACCATTGGAACATGCCACAGAGATGATTTTTATAAGGCTTTCAAATCCTTTAGTCCAGGATAAATATTTTGTGAGTAATGTATGGACTAGATAGCCTTGAACACTCCAGAAAATAAAACTGTGTAAAGGCCAAAAGCTAGAGTTGATGGGGTCTTCATAACTGTGCTGGGTCAGGATAGAAAGCCCTCAATCCAAGTAAGCAGACCCCCAGACACGTTGGTGGGTGGCAGTGGGAGGTGATGGGGCCCTCATCCTCACCTTCCCACTACCTGTTTTATAAGGGGACATAAAGAAAAGCCCTCCCATGTTCTTCCACCTCCCCACCTTCCCTGCAGTGAACCCCTGTGATAAGGGACTTCTTGCCATATGAAGTAACGATATTTCCTGTTGTCTTAACCATCAGTTACAGGAAGTTTTGTTATGTTTTTGGATCCCAGGATTCATTACATAAAAGCTGTCCTCTTTTAACTGCCTGCAATTCTTCACATTTTCTCCAGTTTTCTAGCCTTGTGAATAGTGTTGTCTCAGGGAGTAAAAGGAAGCAGGACATATTAGAGGGAAAGGAGACAGAAAAAGGTCCTTGGGGAGTTCCTTATGGTCAGCTAAGTTAAAGCTTCACATTCAAATGATGCTCAAGTCATGGAGGTGTGGTTCAGTGTGCCCTAAGGAGCTCTCTGCCAAGCACCATGCCGTGTCTGAAGCAATTTTTCCCACTACCTTTACTGACTCAAGTGTCCCAGAGCTGGTGATGGAGATGATAATTTGTTAGGTCAGGTACCCTGCCCTTGTTTCTCCACTCTGCTGGCATCTAGCACTGGATATGTATGAGACTGTGCATGTCTGTCTCTCCCACAAGAAAGGAGAGACTGCCCTCAGTTGAATGCCCTCACATATTACTCCTGCAAAAATGGCCCAGCTTTGCATCAAGTTCTGGATTCCTTCCAAATTAGGAATTATGTAGGAAGAAAGAATATCAACAGGAATCATTTGACTGTATGAACTGTAATATGTTACAACATAAGTTAAAGTCTGAACTCTTTCTCTTGGAGTTCATCCCTCCCTCAGGCTCTTCAATTTGCTCCCCTAGATTTAATTTACCCTTTGAGGTTGACTGTCCTCAGCTTGGTGATCTTCTGTTTGATGCATACTTCTCATTTGCTGGCAGTCTTTCATCTATGCTGTAATTACCAGCTCCTTAAAATATACAGGTTTCTTTTTCTATTTCTACACAGGAGAGAAGAGAACAAAAATAAAGAGCTCAGACATGGGAAGAAATTATGAGCTTGTCAAACCGTGCCAAATTGTATTGAATTAGGTGACAAAGGATCTGAATCATGCTACTTGTTCTGAATAAGTAAATGCTCTCCCTTCCTTCCAATCTCACAACACTCTCAAAGCAGTGGCTCTTCCTGTGAAATGCCAAAAAGCCCCAAAGCGCTTCTCAAGTAATGTGAGCTGATTTGTGTGAGCATTTACCATCACCTGAACACAGGCTTGTTTGCTTAACATTTTATGCACTTCGTGTCAATATTTACTCAGCCTTCCTAACAAGAGAATTGATAGTGTTCAATTTGCAAGCCCAATGCTGTGTGTCAGCCATGACATTGATATTGTCTTCTCTTGTTTTAGACCTCGGAGAGAAGCAAGTTTTTTTCCATCTTCTATTTATCCATTAATGCTGGAAGTTTGATCTCCACGTTTGTAACTCCTGTATTAAGAGGTCAGTGTTGATTTAGAATAAAACAATAAATTAGCTGCCCTCTAACTACTCTGCTGTGCATAGTTAGGCTCTTAAGACAACTGAATGGCAGAAATTATATTATCTCTGGAGTGGTCAGTGTATTGCATTTATACCTTGTTAATCCTGCCATAGCAGTGTAACAGATTTATAATACAGGCAGACAAGTCACAGAAATTATATTCCTGGTTGTATTTCAAAGCCAGCCTGAACTGCAGAATTAAAACTTGGAAGGTGGAAGGACCTATATGGTCATCAAATCCTCATTGCCATTGAAGGACTATTTCCCGTCTTGCCTGCACACAAACTGTGGGTGGGAAATGATCTCTGCTGTCCCGTGCAGCTGTCAGGGCTGAAAAACTTAGCAGGGCTGGTTTGGAAGTCCTACCTTATCCCTCCCACAGGGTGCTGCTGACTTCGGGAGGGCTCTGTCCTGGAACCCAGGTGTGTCTGCTTGGGTCTGCTTGCAGGATTGCAGCCCTGAGCAACCAGCCTTGAAGGCAAAGCACAGGCCTATGCCCCATTTAAGACCTACTTTATATTCTGGCCATCTTGCACAAGCCTTTTTTAGTCCCCAAGTCTTGCCGTGCTTTCTTCATTGTGTCACAGCGCCTCAGAGCCAAGGGGGTTGGCACACTCCAAATACAGGCACAGAGGCGGAGCTGCAGGCCATAAGTGATGGGGACAGAACAGGGACAAGGTAGACTTCACAATTAATAGGGTTTTTTTTCATTCTGCCCCATGGCTTCCAGGAAGCTTTCTTTGTTGAAGTTGTTATTTTAACAGGCCATTCATATCACAGTGGCTGTGAACAATTGTGCTTGTCTCATGTTTACACCATGTATAGGAGCAAAGACAAATGCTGTACCTTACTCATTCTCTCTCGAGTCCCCATGTCAGCATTCAGTTGGGAAGGGCTTTTGCTCAGTATAATCAGTGGGCAGATGAAAATCCAGTTCCTCTTTGAACATCAAAACCTGTGCCATTATAGCCCAGCTATAAACTAGTTGCAGCATGGAATTGAGGTGGAGAGGATAGGGGAAGAAAAAAATTTTTGCTAAGCCTGAAAGCTTTTCTTGGAAGAGCTCGAAATGCTGTTTGTAGACGTTTGGCAGAAATGTGAAATATATACTTCTAGGTGGAGAAGTCCAGCTCATTTAGCATGTAAGAGGTTTAGTGTGCCCATAATGTCTTTCCAGGCTTTATCAGATTTCAGTGAATTGGCTGAAAATAGGTAAATAAATGCCCTGTGTGCACACAGCTGTGCAGCTGACTGTGGCTGCCCAGGTACAACAAACAGGAGCAACAAAGGCTTCATGCACTGGTCTCCTGTTAACTGTGTTGGCTTATTTTAGCCATTTTATTATTACTTCTTGTAGGAATGCGGTAATTTCTAGCCACTGGCATAGAACAGATCCCACTGCCGGTTTGCCGTTTGCAGCTGGAGCTGAACGTTCACAGAGTGTGAGAACGGAACTGGTCCGAGCGCCGCAGGATTTCAGCGAACCTTAGCTCAGATTGCTCAAACCTGTGCTGCAGCACACCTGGCTTCCTCAGGGGTTGCTGCAAGACCTGACATTTAGAGCAGGCTGCCCCTAGTGAGATTGGGAAGGTGGCAGGAAAGGGAGCTGGAGTTCCAAGACTAATCCTGTACTCCCACTTACACAGTTACGGGTATTGGCTTCCACTCTGTCCACTGCAGGTCACTATGAAATCAGATTCAGGTTTTTCACTCAACAACTCATGCAGCTGGCACAAGTAATATGGAAACCCAGTACTGGTTATTTGGATCTAGGTAAATATAGAATGGCTTCAGGTTATTTTAAATGTTGCTTTTTTCCCCCAGTGCAGTTCCTAGTACTTCTTTATACCTATTTGTCTGCCCCCTCTCTTCTACCATTTGCATCAATATCCAATTACCAGCTGCTTTTGCTGCCAGACTCTAACCCTGCTTAAAAATTGTCTTCATCAAGGGAGGACTACTGTTTCAAGGAGATTCAATTCACAGTGTCAAGCACCAGCAAAGAAGATTTAAAGCCAGGGGAAGTGACTGATTTAGGGAAACAAATCAAAAGCCCCAGTACCATAAGTCTGACTGTAATGAGGTGCTTTTATTTCTGGCTTCTTTTTCAGGGGATGTGAAATGTTTTGGAGAAGATTGTTATGCACTGGCTTTTGGCGTCCCAGCAGCACTGATGGTGTTGGCGCTTGGTGAGTGGAAACCATAATGCTTGTAATAGATGTTACCATTTTGAGTCCATGGATAGATGAGAAAATGCACAAATTCACTAATTCTGCAAGGGGAAGTACAAGGGTTCAAGGTCACCCAACAGTTCCACAGCTCATAACAGCAAGAAAAATCAGTAGTTCACTGACAGTGGGCAGATCGTGGCTTTACTGCAATACTATCATGATACTGTTAAGAGGATGGTCTAGTGGATGTTTCACAATACAGTTGCTTCGCTCTAATTCAAAGGGAGGCACCAGAATTCTTCTCCTCATGGCTTGCAGCTTTGCCTATGAGCAGGCTTGGCCTTTGAACTGCAATCTGAGCAGTCCTCAGAGTCCCCCGCTTATAAAAGAGAAGCTTAACATGCTGCTTCTAACCTTTCCACAGCTCTTTGCAGCTCTGGGCCACCTTTAATGTCTCAGACTTTTGCTGCTGAATCAGTGTGCCACAGGAATTGCAGAAGGAGCTGAACGAGATGTTACTTTGTTCTGAGCTGTCTCACTTTGCTTGGCTGAAGTAATTCCCACAATTACAATGACACCTTATTATTAAGTTGCAATAAAAAGTCCTTATTGTCCAAGTGTTAGGAGGTAGCCACAACCCCCCTGCTTCCTAAAGCTTGTATCTTAGCCCCATTAATGTACTTGTCAAGATTTCTTCTTCAACCCTTATAAAATACACAGCAGTCTTGACATTCTTACTGTTACTGCTTGATAGCCATTACAGAGGACACCCCATTAGCTTTAGTTTCACATCTGCAAGATGCTGGAGAGTAGTCCCCTTATTATGCTGCATTTGTGAGGTTTTGACACAGCATGGGGTGACTTCTCATTCATATTGTTAGCTTCACTGAGAGACCAAGCAATTGTGTGATTTCGCCACAGCATCTGTGATTTGAAAAGCTCATCCCTCAGAGAATGTGAATGTTGCTGTCTCCGCTCAGATTTCCATCAGGGAGAGGAGTCAATAAACTGAAGAAATGTCATCAGGCCACAGCTAATGTTACAGCAATTCTTTTCAAAAAAGTGCATGGTCACAGGCCTGAGAAGCTTCAGTTTTTCCCCTGTGGCCTGTTCCTATCAGTTTAAGGCAGCACAGGCTCCTCTGTGCACCACTGTGTGATGAATGTTTCTAGCAGAGTAGTAGTTGCCCAGAAGAAAACGAACGTGTAAATATTGCAGTTTCCATGAGGGCATCAATCGAAATGTGTTTTTAGCTAGTGTCCTGCTGCCAGATTCCATGGCCTGCCCAGCAAAGCAGCTCTGTGTTCTTCTGGAACATGCTAAAATGCTCTGGGAAGTGATATATTTGATTATGTTAGCAGCATGCAGAACTGGATGAAATACTGTTTTGGCCCTGACTGGCCCTCCCCCCATGATGATGGAAATCAAAGATAGATTAAGAGGCAGGATGAAATTCTTACAGAGCAAGATTTTCTGCGCTGCTTCTGTTTCTGAATGATGGGGTAGACTGATACTATTTAATTCCAAATGCCAAACCTAATTCAGGAACCTCAACTCCCAAAGTAGTCAGTGGCATTGCCAGAAGGTATTTCGGCCAACCTGGTGAATCACCTCGTAGAAGCACCAGCAGCTTCACAGGGAGATGGTAAAAAATTAGGTATTGGAGCTACCCCTCTGGGTGACTTTGCTCAAGTGGAACTCATCTAAACTGACCTCGGAGGTCTCTCAGAGGTCTGCAAGTCAAATCTGGATGCTAAAGGTCTTCATAGTCAGAAAAGGTGAGCTCCCTGCAGAGTCCCAGGCCTCCTGTGTTGCAACAGGGGTACCTGCTATTGTCCACTGGCTGTGGACTGACCAGACAATTGGGTTAGTTTAAAAAGTTGAGGTTGGTTTACAATATGGATTGCCCGCTTAGCTTATATTGTGCTTCTCCCTGCTGGTGTCTTTGGAATTGTAATGTGCTCAGAGGCTCTCACAGAGCAGGATAAATGATACATAATCAGGTACCTCCATCTCTGACAGGATTTTGAAGTCTCAGTGTGATATTCTTTGTGCTTTGAGGAAGGAAACCAAGACAAAACAGTATCTTAAATTGTATAACCCTTTGTGGAAACCATAAATAGAGGTAATTTCTGTTAACACCTGTATGTGATGCAGTGACCTTCATAGCAGTTGCTGTTGAAATGTGTGTGAGATGCAAGGACACAGAGCCCATGTTGTATCTGGATTAATCCTCACACTCTTAAGGGCTGATTTCCAACATCGGGTGCAGCAGTTCAGTGTGGATTGTATTTTAAGTTTAGTCTACAGAAGGCACACATACGGAGTGAATTTTCGAAGTTTTATTCCCAACATGAATCAGATGTGGAGGTGCCTATGAGAAGATGATAGTGACTTCCTAGGGATCACTGCCGCTTGTGGGATGTTGCATTTTTTTCCATCTGAAGGCATTAAAGGATTCCTGTATATTCATTCAGTTAAAAGTGCGACCCTGCAAGCCCCAAGGGCAGAGCGTTTCTGTTAAATATGGGGGTGGGGGATCATTCCCAGCAGCCAGTGCAGGATTGAGCTTCAGCCATGTGAATTTCCATTTGGATTATAATATTTTTTCAGTTGTGTTCATTGCTGGAAGTGGACTGTACAGAAAAACACCACCACAAGGGAACGTCTTACTGGAAGTGTGCAAATGCATCGGTGTAAGTGTGTGCCATTCTCTTTTTCATGCGTGACTCTGAGGTTGCAGGACAGGAAGGTGCAAAAGCAAAGGGGAGGTGACTTCTGGAGTTCTGTATGCTGCTTCTGGATATGTTGCTGATGAGCTGTAAGGAATAAGAAACACATTTAGGTCCTAGTTTATTCTTTCAGCATTTGAATTGTTTCTCCTTAGCTCCATAAACTGTTCAGTTGACCTCAGTAGAACCACTTTTGGCAGATACTGGTGGAGATTGAACTGAAAGGAAAATTCAGAAACTCACAGAGTATCAGATATCTGACTGCATTTTTTTTCAGCGAAATAATTTTACTGAAGTCTATCAGTTCAGCAGACAGTAATAGCATACATTCATATTGTGCACATTCAGCATGTTCATGTAAATGCAAGAGACACCTGCTGAAGTTGCATTACAGCTTTATCAATTGTTTTTCATAGTGTGTGAGCTGAATACAGTATGTGAAAAAATACTCTCTTATTATTAGGTGGATAATGATGTTTCTATTTCAGGAAGCTGTTGCTAACAGCAGGTGTTTTCTTTTTATCTAGGTCAACTCTAGTGCCAGATTTACCTTGGGGAAACAGGCGAGATCTTAAAGACAGGATTTCTAAGTGAGGTCTGCCACTGTTTTTGCCAGGGTAGCTGTGTTCAGTGTGTCCACTGACTGGAGCACACAGCATAAACAGGCTAGGAGTTGGACTTTGATGATCCTTCTGGGTCCCTTCCAACTCAGGATATTCTATGATTCATTTCCACATCATACCTTTAATCAACCAGTGTCACAGAAACTTCCCTGCAGAGAATTCATCATAAAGCATCCGATCTGAGATTTTGGAAATATTCTGCAAAACCCCCTGAAATTTTCTGGCACTGCTTACATTTGGGGATGGGGTAGGCAGCCTTGAGTTGGGAACGTGACAAGGGCAGGTACGGCACAAGTGAGTCACTCACCTGTTTTTCTCCCTAGTTTGCTATTAAAAACCGGCTGAAAAACCGCTCCCGTGAGATTCCAAAGAGGGATCACTGGCTGGACTGGGCGTCAGAAAAGTACTCGGTGAGCAATGGTCTACCTGGCAGGTTTGGAGGGGGAAGGGGGCAGATGGGCAGACAGACAGGGGAGACAGTAAGACTGACTCTGGGCACAAATTTTCCCGTCCCTTCGCACATCTGTACTCTCCTGACCCTCGATGGACAGTTTAGGTGCTGCACTGAATTGTAGAAGAGCAAACATGCCCAATATCATGAGTAAGTGCAATGAAGAACTGCCGTGCAGGAAGAAATAGGAGTTCTCATTCTTAATGGCTTGAATCACCTGTTGGCTTTACACCCCCACCTTACCTTTTTGCCTGTTCCCTTTTTAGAAACAGCTGATTGGGGAGGTTAAAATGGTGACACGTGTTCTCTTCCTCTTCATACCGCTGCCAATGTTCTGGGCCCTGTTTGATCAGCAGGTACGGTACAGTGTGTACAGGTCTGCCTGCCAGCCTGGGTTTGCACCTCTGTCCTTCCAGGGTAACAACAAAGCACCCTGGGGACACCGAGGGCCAGGCTCCTACAGGGGCCTTCCACCATCACTGCTGGCCATCCCTTCACAGTCCTGCCAGGTGTCTGGCACGGGAGGGTGAGAAGGGAGAATGTGCCCTGCTTACTGACAGGTGTTACAGGGGAGGGAAAGAATAGATGGGAAATAAGACCCCCAGCGCTGTCATCTTCTCTGTCCCCATGTTTTTTAGTCCTGTAGGACATTCTGAAGGCTTCACAGCTGTCTCTTTTCTCCTTAGGGATCCAGGTGGACTTTGCAAGCCACAAAAATGAATGCTGATTTTGTAAGTACTAAATGTCACCAGGGCTGGTAAGACTAGTAGTAACATCACTTCTCTTGCTTTTTAACCGGAGCCTTGCAGTACTAAGAGCGTCTGCTTGGTGAATCTGGGTGAGTTTCACTTTTGGTGATTCGAAGCGAGAGGCTCTGTGCAGCCGTGTTCGGTTCCTCACAGCTCACCTGTGCAAGGAGCGAGGGCTGGGGACCCATCAGCAGGTCAGGAGTGCTGACCTTCAGGCAGCCAGGCACTCTGTGGCCAAGAGCAGGTGGCATTTTCAGCCTGCTGCCCCCACTGAAGACAGAGAAATCACACAGCCCTTTGAAGGTGTAACTAGAGGTGTATGTAGTTGTGTATTTCTGCTCTGGCTTTATTGGTGATATATTAATGAAGCCTCTCAAAACCAGGAGGAGTCTTGTGTATAGGCTAGGGATGTGATGAGGATTAATTTGTTAGTTCTTCAAAGGTGTGAATGGCAAAAGGTGCAGGCTGCAGTCTCAGGTAAATGTAGATCAGCTGTCTGCCCAAAGATACCACCATACAGGGCTGGTTTTCAGACATATATGTTTTAACAGGCAATCTAGATCTTACCTGCGGATGCCCACATCAGAATCCGGGATTGTAAACGACCATTTTCCAGTTTAAAATTGACTTAAAGCCCCAAATTTGGGACCTTCTAGGTCACTCCTGTTAAAAAATGGGCTCTCAACATGTGATATTCAATATGGTTAATTAGTTCAAATGAGGCATGAAAAAGACTACATCTTGGATAATATTTATCCACCTCAGAAAGACAAAACCATGTAAGTCCATGCAGTCTTTATGATGTATATCTAAAACTTTTTATTTCTGCTGTTTTGCTCACATGCACTTAGTGATCCATCAGCAGGAGAGCTAAGAATCACCAGATGTCACTATTAAACTCTCCTGGTTGGAGAAGGACATATTCAGGGCTTTTTTTTCTCACACCAACTTGGATAGTTTTTTGGCTTTTGTTTCAGTCTCATCCGCTCTTCCCTCATGAGTTGTCCCAACTCAAGAAGGTGAGAACTAACTTCAACATTGGGATGATCCCACCCTTAGGCTTGTTGGAGTTTGTGTTTGTAATACTCTATGACTTTCTGTTCTGCAGACAAAGGCCCAGCTGGGAAGTCTGCAGTCAAACAGGGAATGATTTAGTGTCAGATGAAATACTCACAGGCTTGTTTCCTAATGGCACATTTCTGTAGTGGGCACAAAGTAGCAAGAGGGGGTATCTGCCTGATATTTTTAATTGACTGCATTGCTGTGACCAGCAGTTTCCACTCTCCCAGGAGGCAGCTGCAGGCAGAGACAGGCAGCCATTCTAGGCTCAGCTCAGGACAAGCGTGGTAGACGGGAGACAAACCCCCACAGCACTTCCTTGAGAAGATACTATTTCCTTTCTGATTTCTTGCCTCCCCTTCCCTTGCCTCCCCTTCCCTTGCCTCCCCTTCCCTTGCCTCCCCTTCCCTTGCCTCCCCTTCCCTTGCCTCCCCTTCTCTTCATCTTAATTTCAAATGAAGAGCACTTTGTGGAGTTCAAGCAGCAGTCCCTCCCTGGAGACAGGTCATCTATATAGTGATGCAAGGGTGAGGCACCTTTTATAGCCTCGAGGACTCTTGGCTCAAACTAAGAAGTCCTGGTTGACCAAAGCCTGTTAGGTGCAGATGGAAGGAGGAAGGAGGTGTTTGTGCAGCCCAAGGATGGTCTTTTGTTATCCTTTTGGGGGGCTTGGGAGAAATGCTTACAGAGCTCACAGGGTCTTGAATCTTGGGAGCACTCACTTGTAGGATTTAGGCTTTTCCCATTGTAGAAGCAGGAATGAAGGAAGCTCTAAGCCCACATTCCAGCTTGGACACTAACACACCCATTCTTCTCCACTCGCCTAGTTCATGGCTCAGCCAGTCTGAAAGATGAGCCTCAGTACCTGTCATGAGTTGTGTGACGGATGCCAAATATCAAGGATTGAGTGCATCTTCCTTCTGCAAAATGATCTTAGTAAACACTGTGTCCTTAGATGACAAGTGTCAAGAGCACAGTATCAGCTGCTAAAGACAACATAAAGCATTTGAGGAAGTACCTTGGCTCCTAAGGCCTCTACGGGACTGGCTGCTTATTTGCCATTTGCACTGATGTATTATAGTGTTTATGAATCATTTGCAATATCTTTTTGTTTCAGGGAATATATGTCCTTCAGCCTGACCAAATGCAGGTAAAAGATATTACAGGGTAGGAAATAAACCCTTAGAATGTATTTTCTTTTTCTCTCTCATTTTTATTTTTCTCATGGGACCAGTAGCCTTTCTCTGCTCCTTTTGAAGGCAGTAGCAGTGCTCCTACTGGTTGCTGTGGTGCGGACTTTGCCTTATTGTTTTCCAGCTGATTTTAGGCTTCATCTTGGCATTCAGAAGCCCCCAAGGATGTCCTAACACAGAGGTTGAATCCTGCAGAATAGTGCGGAGGTATAGGGAAACCTCTGCCACCATAATAGTTCTTGAACTAGTGCTGACTTGTGGAGGATACAAGCTGCATCTCCTTCTAACAGGTCCCTGTGCTGGGATGAGCATTGCTCCTGAAATATGTTGCTTCCTCCCCTTCTGCAAGGCAGATGAAAATGTGAAAGCTCCAAGATGGTGCTGTGTTGTCACAGTTGATTACAATTCTTACGCTGAACAGCTCTGGAGAAATTCAAAGCTGTTCTGTTCCCCGAAATCTTCCTTCGGAACTGAAACAACATTTCTCTCTGCTTGTTCTCCATCACTCTCTATTTTCTTGCGCTGCCACTGCTGGCAGGCAGACAAGCTGTGCTCTTCCCAGGAGAAGTTTTGTTCCTGGGGGATTACCAAGGCGTGTGGAAGTGCGAGAAATTGCCAGTCTTACACAATAGTGCCTGTTCCTTTGGGATTTTGCTGGAGTCCCAAGGTGTTTCCATTGTTGCTGATTTGTTGTAAGGTCCCACCACAGCAGTGAAGGTCACCTGTGTCTATTGTCTGTGGGGTTTGTACTCTTTAAAAACATTGTGCTTCAGTTCTCTCTCCAGGGAAACTGGGCCAATGATGCTTGCTTACCTCTTAGAGGGGCAGATATGAACAAAATATATTCATGCCTGTGAAAACTAAATAGCAGAAGCTGTTAAGTGCAAACTATGATTATATTTTAAAAGGAGGTTTTTAAGTGTTTGTCCATGTCCTTTCTGTAATGGAATTATTTCTGGAGGACATTGCTTTATGGGTTTAATTACTGAAAGTTGCTTTCTAGTCACTAAACTCCCATTCTTTTGTATTGCAGTTCTTAAATCCACTTCTTATTCTTGTCTTCATCCCAATTTTTGACCTTGGGCTCTACCCCCTGATAGACATGTGCAAATTTAATTTCACGTAAGTACTTGGGGACAATGCAGGTGCCTCGGTGCTTTTTCTTTTGCAGCAAGTGTGCAGAATAGCTTTTAAGGAGGAAGAACACAAATTTCCATTCACCTTTCCCAGTATTTGGTTCTACTTTAGCCCCAAGAGGCAGCATCACCCTCTTCCACAGTTCCTGGTAATTCCAGAGGGGAAAGCTCCATGATGTTGGATTCTGCTCTGTACAGATTTTCCCCAAAAGCAGATATGAATAGTCTCATGTTGAATTTGTTCAACATGTTTGCCACCTTGTTTCCTAAATCATGCATAAATAATTCCCTCCCTGAAAGGTTCCTGTGGGGCCAAATTCCTAGTCCCATGTGGGCTGCATGAGGTGTTGTGAAAGCAGATTCCATACCAAAATCTGAATCAGTGAGTGCATAAAGAGATTTTGATATGACACAAGCACTTTAGTCTGTGTTACCAACAAGGGCAATGTAATAGGAGCAGACCTCCAGGTTGTTTCTGAGACCCACCTTGTGCATTTTAGGTGATATTACTTCTGTGTATCTGTATTCTGCCTCTGTGGACTGATGCCCTGTAGCATTGGGAGTATATTTATGCACATTCATGGAGTGCCTTTGCCAGTGCAGTTTCAGCTGAAAGGAACCAATTTTCCATGCTCCAGCACCACAGTGTGGGAAGGGATGAAGAGTGGGGAGCTTGGCTTAAAAAGCGTGTTCCTAATCCAAACTAAAATACTGGACAGGCAAATCCACATAAAATGGGGATGGAAGGAGCCTCAGGAAGCCTCCTCCTTCACCCTGCTGATTCCTTCCCATCATGCTGAATTACTTGCACCTAAAAATGTATCCAAGAATGTCTAGCCCAGCAGCGGTGCCTTTTGGAGGACACAGCTCAGAGACTGTGCTTCTCCCTGCTGCCTCAGTGTGAGCCCATGGTCTGGACTGTGTCCTGACTTGACAGGAAACTTTCTGTCCTGGTGACCAATTCACAGAGTAGTTCACCCAGCAGCACAAACTCAGGCACCGATCAAGACTGAATACCAGGACTAAAGACCATTACAAAGAGTGGAGACCACAGAATTTACTACCAGATTCGTTTCAAATCTCTACAATTCAATACTTAGTTTGGACATGCCGTTCTGGACCTCTTTTATTCTGCTTTTTATCAGATTGTCTCATGTAACTCTGGTAGAGTTGCACTAGTTTTGCCTTGAGTTTAGAAGCAAGCTCTTTATTTTCTAGAAATGTAAATGTATTGGCATGAGAAATAACCCAGAATGATGCCCCAGATGGTCAGAAACATTGATGACACAAACTACACATTTTTCTGCTCCTCATTCCCACTCCTAAGTAGCATGCTACTTTTCTTTTGCCTTTCCCAAAAGGGACTTGAAGATACATCATTTCTCGTGCTCTTTCCAATATCACAGATTAGCATAATGCCATGAGCTATTCCCACTAGAAGAGCTGGGAAAAAGATAGTATGAAACTTGCAAGGAAGGAGATTTTTTTTCATAGCGTATCAGTTTTAATTGGCCTCAGTGCTGGCCTCATACAGAATAATAAGATAGTTTTAAGTTAAATGATTGGCAATTTAAACAGCCTGTCATCCCCAGTGCCACCTGTTGGACAGTTTATTACATGGTTTTGGCACATCTTTGGCTCTGAGGAATGGTGTTCTGTAGTTTAAATTACTTTTTTTCCTTAATGTACCTCTTTCATTTGCTCCATAGACCAATTAGGAAAATGGCAACAGGTATGATCCTTGCAGGGCTGGCGTTTGGACTTGCAGCTGTTATAGAAATCAAAATAAATGTAAGTAAAGTAGAAGGGATTCCTCAGAAATACTTTCTTTCTCTGGGGTGTTTTTATTGGTATCTGTTAGGTAATCCTTTTAACCATTGTGTTCCTTGATCATAATTTGTAATGTTTTCTTTACAATTGAGCATACCTATCCAGTTGCTAATGATAATTCTTACCTTGTCTACTTTTCCCTCTCTTTTTCTCTGTCTCTGTGTCTTTCTTTCTAGTCTTGCAGTTTTGCTGTGCTGGTCATCTGTATTGGTCTATATTCTAGATTTCCGTCGTCAAAGTGCTTGACAGACATCTAGTTAATGCTAGTGATTAATTCCCAAAAGGTAGTCTGTTCTCTCTCCTATTTCTTGCTGTACCTTGCCTATATTTTTCTATTTGGGGTCTTCTGTGTGTGTGTGGTGGTTTTGGTTTTTTAATTTAATTTCTTTGCTACTTTAGGGTGGGGATGTGTTTTTTTACAAGCCAAATTGTTTCTCCAGCGAGGCAGGTGAATGCAGTCAGGGACATTAGGGACTGCTGGGCATCCCCAGACAGGATGGCAGCAAATCTCTTATAAATTCCATGTTAGCTCCTGCAGATTTGCTATTTGTTTCTGGCCGAAGACCAGCATTGTGCAGTCTCTCACTGACCTTTGTCTCATGGAAGTTACTATAGGATTAATTTTTAAAGCTTTCATGTATGCTTAAAATGTTCTGTTGAAGTGGCTGGAGCACAGCCAGATTAACATCTGCTGGTTCCTCAGGTGAATCCACTAACGAGTCTCCCACTGAAATGAGACTTTGTGGGTTTAGGTCTTTTTTCTGATCTTTTTATGTGAACAAAGAAATGCTCTCATTGCCACCAGCAGCAGCTCTGGCTGTGGGTGACTCCTCTGGACAGAGGCAAGGTGAGTTAGCGGCTCTCTCCTGCCTGTGCATGAAAATTTTATCCCAGAGGCTAAACTTTTACCCTATAGGCTCTAGAGGATAAGATGGCCCACCTTCACTTGGATGTGAGTTGCAGAAGCAAAAAGCCACAGTAATGGAATTTGCTGTAACATTAACAGGCCTGTTGGTCTGGAACAGCATATGGATACAGGGAAATCAGCTCTCCCCATCTTCTATGGTGGTGTGTGTCCCCACCAAGTTAGGTTCAAAATACACGGCCTGTAATACCCAAATTATCAGATAAGATAGAGAAAAAATGAACAGCTCTGCTGTATTGCTGGCAGCTACTTGAAAATAAAGTGAGAAGAAAACGGGAGTTTAAAAAAAAAATTAGCTCTGCAGGTAGTACAAGGCTGACACTGATTGATGTAGTCTTTCTAGGAAGTGATTCCTGACAGAAAGAGATACCTCTGTGCTGGAGGCATCATCTTCCCTTTGTCAGAAAACAGGGAATAAGATCTATACAGTCTGCATTTAGATAGCACGGTATCAAGTAATGCAAGAGCACCGATTACAGGCATGGAGCTGGACTGGGATTTTCAAAAATGCTTAGCTTCTGGTCTGATTCTTTTCCCAGTCACTGACTGCAGTGGGAAATAATTATTCTGGTCACTGCTTTTGAAAGCTCAGCACAATTTTTTCTGTTCTGATATGGCAGTTGGTTAAATCCAGGCACTAGGGAGCTGTATAATGAAAGCTGTGACATTATTCTACCTGCTCAGTAGGTGTATAGTCTGTATGCTTAGGGGTGTAAGGAGAGTTTTTGGGAGGAGTGATGGGTTGGCCATTGAGCTACTATGAGGAAACCTCCCTAAATAAGATTTATGTTCACTTTTCTCTGAGTGCAACTTCTGATGAGGAAGAGATGGAAAAGTGTCATTACAGAGAGGAAGACTATTATGGTTAAAAATGAAGAGATATTAAAGTGCTAATAAAGCATACAGATGGCACTTAAAGCCTTTTACTTTAATTAGGAAACAGATATGCCTCGACTTGTCCCAGAAGAAAGTTTAATTCGGGTCCTGAATTTGGCAAAGAACCCTGTTCAAGTGACGATCCAGGACAAGGACCTATTTCAGCAGCCTGTGGAGGCTTTTCAGGTAAACATATATTTGGGGTTGGAAGGCCTGACTTGCATCCCACTGAAGAAAGGATGGGCTTTTTTTTAAGGAATTCTCTAATAAAGCTGATGGATACAAAAGCTTGTTCTCCTCCATTGCCTTAGAGGTGTGTGAGAATAGCTTTACAAATGGAACATATTATCCCTGTTATATGAGACAGAAATTGAACATTTGGATGTATATTTCTGTGGCAAAGGGAACACCTTACATTCACCTGTAATTAGTAACAAAGGATAACAGGGTTACAGACTCTTTTGAAGAAAGGACAGTGTTGCACTTAGCAGGAAAAGACAGATCCTTTCTCATCTGAAGAAAGTGTAACTGAGTTTATTCTCTTCCACAGAACCCAGCTGAGTACTCAAAATTAATATTGAATGGAGAACAACAGAGTCTTCGCTTCACCCTGCAACATCAAGGATTGACTCTTGCTTTTAACTACACCGTGAAGGAAAAATCAGTTTACAGCTTAATTGTTTTTGAGGCAGAAGGAAGCCTATCAAGCCACTTAGTGAGTGTGGGAGTGAAGTGTAAATACAGTATTAATTCAATGGCTGTGATGCTACAATGGGGTAACAGGCTCATTAATTCATTTGCTCAGTTGCAGTGTCTGTCTGGTTGCTCTCAGATGCTCTAAACCTGACTTCTTAGCCGGCAGCACTGGATCTGTACACACTTCTACTGGTTGATTAATAGAGGCGTTGTGGCATCTGAGAGTTTCTGGGCACACTTTAATCCACTGAATGCTGCAGTGGGAGAGCAGAGTCATGCCTGCTAGGCAGCAGAGCTTGAGAAAGCTGGGGAAACAGAGAGCCAGAGATTTCCCCCCAAAGATGGTTTTATAAAGCAAAGATGTTAAAGAGGCTCTAGGGCTGGCCCTGGAATAAAAGCATCAGAGGAATGATTCCTGGTTTAGTTATTGCAAGTGTTTAGTGAAAATACACAGAAGGCCCATTTGTGTTGCTGAACAGAATAAATGGTTAAGCTCATTTCAGGCTCTGCAGCAGAGCCGTCTGCATTTGAACTTTTGTGTATTGCTGCAACGATCAGAGAAGGGCATATTGGGATGTATAGAGCAGATTCTGATGTCTTTTATGTGTAGCTGTATCCTAAGAAGCTCCCTTGAAATGAATGGTGTTATTGCACACTGTGGCAGGTGTGTAAATGCCATCAGAATCTCTCCTCGTGCTAAAATATCCATTCTCTTTGCAGTTCCTCAGCCTCCTACATTTCAGGGTTGCCACATGAAGCATTCAGTATTGTATAGTAGAAATCACGTAACTGTTTTTAAAAATGAGTTTTAAGAATTTATTTTGTCATAACATTGAGGTTTTTTGCTGCCTTTATGGTTTGGAGCCTACAGCTCATTATCACACAATGTTGTTAAGTTTCCCTGTGCCCTTGATGACTGAGCGCTGTTACCTTAAGAAATGGGTACTTGTACAGTGATTTTCATACAGTCCTTAAGAAGCAAAAGCCTGTGACAGGCTGAAGCAAAGCAATCTCTGAGCTTCAGTACATCTATGCTGCCCTAGCTATGCAGCCTGTGCTTAAATTAGTGCCTACTCTGGCATGGGGAGGCTCCCATGTGCTGGGAAACAGCTGTGCTGTTGGGGATGGTATTGACGTGTCACTCACAGCTGTAGATAAGGGAGATGTGGAAGACAGCGTGGTAAATGATAGTCATTTTTTCAGCATTGCAACACGAGGAAGGCGATGCCAGCATCACTGCTGTGTTGCTGGCATTGCCCTGGAGTAACCTCCCACACTGCTGGGCTTGGCCCACTCACTCAGGTGGGATTGCTTTCCTGGAAGGATCCAATCTGAAATTGGTTTCTTCTCCTTTGTGGGCTGTTGAGTAGGCAGGAAATGAATTTGAGAGCTCTGGGGATCATCAGTGAAAGCGAGTAATAATTTGGCTGGCCTGTCTGCAATGAATTAAAGTGTTCATCCCCATGTGTCTCCCGTGGAAAAAAAAAATGTTGCTGTTTATTATTTATTACTCTGACATTTATTATTCACTGTGGCTATTTATTATTTAGGGCATATGTTATTTGTGGGTAGCATATCACACTAAGTACACTAGACGTTTTATAGGTATACTGAAATTCTGGGGCCTTGGTCTCAGAAGCTCAGGGTTTAGCATCAGGACGAAAGTGTGGAGAAAGGGCCAGGAAATTTTTAGAGAAAGCCAGTTTCTGAAGGTAGAATCAGTCTCTTTTGGCTTGCCAGAGTTCCATCTGTGGGCAGCGCAAATTGAAATTACCCTGCCAGATTAAATGGACGCGGCACAACTTTGGATTTCTACCAGCCAACAGCCTTGCTTTGTATTCTTTCTGTGTGACATACAACCTATAGGGCAGGGCTGTGTCTTTACTGTGTTTTTTCAGCATTGTACAACCAAATAGGCTTTCTTTGAAGGAATGTTGACCATGTTAACTATTAAGCTGCTGCTCTAGCTGTGATCTCCAGGAGAGACATGCTCACTCCCCAGTGTGCCCATCCAGGTGGCCATTTCAGGGATTTGTCTGCAGAGGCTGTGAACACAAGCAAGGTCGGTGCATTGTGGTCTCTCCTTCTCTCTGCTGGCACCATACAGCAGTTTAATCTTTTGAATATTGAGGGTCAGGGAAAATACGAGTGGTACATGATGATCAGTGTAGTAACCTAGCAGTTCTTTTTGTCTTTAGACTTCTGTGAAGTCTATGAATATGACAAGAAGCAGGGTCTGAGATTTGGACCGGTTGCAGGTTTTGTAGGAGTAAGGCACTCAAGTTTACTTGTAACTAATGACTGAAAGATGGTAATGTGGATTATGCTCTCTTGCTGTCTCCAGATCCAGACAAATACTTTTTGGAGTGTGTTACATGCCTCAGTAGAAGGGTGACTGGCTGAAACTCTCTAGACTTTGTTACAGAGGAGATGAGATGAGAAGAAAAGCTATGATCTCATCTTGGTGGAGATGAAACTTTGCCACTGGCTTCATCGTATCAGGACGTCCCATCTGTGGCCTGATGTAAAGCTTATGTGATTTCTATTTGATTTCCACAGGCTTTGCAGCACCACAACACTAGTGTTTTCTGCCCCACATTTTTGAAAGGTAGCATTAATAAATATGTTTGATGTTTTTTTTTCTTCCCCTCTCTAGATTACAGACTTGGAAGCAAAACCAGAAAATGGTTTGGCAGCTGTTAGGTAGGAATGGATTTTTTTTTGAGGATTTGAAGGTGGTCGGGAGAGGGAAAGTGCTTTTGACTAATGCAAACTGTCTGTAACATGACCCAGATGTTCTCGGGTTGGAATCCACTCCACACTTCTCAGGCAAGACTCGTCTGTCATCTGTGGAAGCTTGACAGAGCGTCACCTCCCACACATGCCATGCAGAGCTGAGCATTATTGCTGCTTACTGCCTAGGATAGTCTGGGCTGAGATGGCAACATGGAAGATCTCCTCCCTTGGAAAAGTGCCAAATTCATCTCACTTTGTCCCAACTCTTTGGGAAAGAAAGGGAAGAAACTATTTAGATAGCAGCTGTTGCCATGCCCTCTGCAAACTGGCCAACCCATGACATTCTCACTCAACCTTATGCCCAAATGCCTACTAAATTGGATACAGCAACAGTTTTACATCCTTGTAAGCAGTTCAGCTGGGCACTGGGCTCCACTCAAGCAGCTAGTCTATTTTCCTAATTTGAGCAAGTCCGTGTAGTCCATGAACACTTCTGTGCTGGCTTGTGCCAGTTGTTGACATATAGAAGAAGCAAATTTGAAAAAAAAAAAAAAATCCAGCTGGACTTTCTGGAGGATTTGGGTGAGGTGAAATTGAAGAAAAAAAAAAAAAGGAACCAAAGCACACCCCCCCCCAAAAATAACCCTACCACGAAAGCAAAACTTTAAAACCACCAAATAAAACAAACCTCAAAAACAATGTCCAATGCCCTTATCTGAAAACATGTGTTGACAAAGCAGGAGAGCAGTATCTCTTCCTAGCCCTGTGCTTGTGAAGGCTTCTACTGAGTAAACACCACTTGATTAATACCTGCAGTCAGGAATGTTTTACATTTTCTGGTGGACATTTTGACAAAATCCCCAGACTTTAGCAATTTGTGAAGAGGAGGGAGAAACTATTTTTCCACTGAAAAGTTTTTTTTATTAAGCACATGACTGTCTTCAGGGATTACACCCCCATTTGAGGAACTGAAAACTGAAATATTTTAAAACATAGATCAAATGAAAAGCAATTGGTTTTTGCCAACGATTTTTGAGTTGTCAGAAGGAAACTGTCTTTTATGCGTCAAAAAAAATAACCTTCCACAGGAGATAAGGAGAGTAAAATTACACAGCAGGGAAACTTCTATTGAAAAACTGGGCAATGAATTTGGCAAGTATTTTGGTTACTTGCAGAAGAGAATTGTCATAACCTTGTGGAATTACTTGTACACTTCAGGAGAGAGAGCAAACTTCTAATGTGTCTGCTATGATGTTTCTCCTGCCTTGTCTGACAGCTCAGTGAAATATGGTTTCTTTGCAGGTTCATTAATGGTTTGAGCCAAGATGTCAACCTCACAATTGATAGCAGAAAGTTCATTGCTGTTCAGAAGGACTACAGCCCTTCTGAGTACTCGCTGCTGGAGAGGGACGTGTAAGTTTCCTTTGCTGTGCTGAAGGTCCTTGCTGAGGCCTTTCCTGGGATACAATGAGGCTTTTCTCAGGCTAATAGCAAAACCTTCATTGCCATTGTCTTGGCATTTGGTTGTGGGGGCAGATGTTTGTAAAAAAGCAGAACTTCCAGCTCCATGCAGAGCAGGTGCTCCAGGCCACTTCTGTGTGTGCAGAGGCTTTTATTCACATTATGTGGGGACCTGGAAGGAAGAGACTGGTCATTCCTGTGCATCTGTCAGCAGAGTAAGGTGGAAAGTGGTGAGGTCCCCTCTGCCATTTGGGTACTGCTTTATTTTATACTCTCTCATAGTGTTAGGGTGCTCTCAGGGAAAGGCCAATTCATATTCCACACTACAAAGTGTTGGTATGTGGGCTGGTAACATCAAGTAGCATTACATGGCTTTGCAGGCTGGGCTTGTTAGGGGCTCCATATGGCCTTGCTTTGGCAGCGCTGGAGTTGGCTCTTGTAGGGTATTTCTAGCATTTCCAGTGTTTCAAAACAAGCTTCATGGCTTTTCTCTGCATCAGCTCCATCCAAAATATTTATTGCTGCAATTTAGTAGGATGCAGCAGCCATTGTGGCAATGCTGCTGAGCCTCTGTGCCATCTCACACATCCAAAATCAGAAGAACAAATATGAAGGCTAATTTGCTCCATTGAAAGGAAACAAAGTGGCTTCTGGGTGCACATCTCTGATTTCCTGCAGACTGCTTGTCTGGCCCACAATTCTGAAGGAGTGGAGCAAAGTTGGGAAGGAAAATAAACCTGAAGGGAAGAAAAATAAAATAAATCAGTACTAAGAAGAAGCAGAAACCATTTAGAAACGTTAGCAATAGCCCAGATCATTAGGTGATCTCCAATTAGTGTCTAAGTGTTTCTGGAAGGAAAAGGTGGCAAGAACTCTAGTGATCATCTGACATAAACATTGCTGCATCTTGACGTCTTGCATCCTTCCTGCTCCATTTTAGGGGCACATTTGATAGCTCTGCTCTGTGTTCTTTGTCTGTGGAACTAACTGGGAAATACTGTTCTTTATCCTTTTATCTAGGTACAATAATGGAAAATGTGTAACTGAAACAGGAGAGTTCCCCCTGGAGCTGGGGCTGCTCGACTTTGGTGCCTCATACACCATTGTGATAACTAACGTAAGTGTTCCTGTGATGGTAACATGCTCTTGTTCTAGTCTCTGGCAGGGCTTTTGCTCTTGTGCTGGTGGCTCTCACTTGCTTTCTCCACTCTGAGACCTGGGCAGTAGCCATCTGAAAGCAGTCCATTATGCAAGGCCTAGTAAAAGGTTTTGGCACCTACATAGGCAAGATGGGTGTGTATCCATTCCACCTTACACTGGGATCGTGTCAGATCTCGTGGGTTTAAAAGAAGTAAAATCTCTTCCTTGATAGAGTCCTCCATGGCAAATCATGTGATCTCTGGTTTGTGCTGGTCTCACGCCATCCTTGAGCAGTTAATGTTGACCCAGCACACTGCAAAGAGCTGTTACCATCTGCCAAGAGCTGTCTGCTTGTTCTCTTTAAAGTATTGTACCTGGTGGTACCTCACACCCAGAAAACTGCAGAGACAGTCTGCTCTATCCCCCATTGAACTTACTGAACTGAAGGCTGGTTTTTCCAAGGTTTGTAGATTATGCATAGGGGGAAGAGGGACAAAGTGTTAGGGGAGGAGGTTGGTGAGATTCTACATCTGTGTTTCCTCCTCTCACTGTCAGTACAGCTCATTTGGAGCCTAGTGTCAAGTCAAGGCATGGTTTTCTGAACAGCCTAGCCCTGATGGGGTGTGAGCACTGCTGAGAGGGTGGATTCCTCTCCCTGCCTGCCAACCTCTTCAATACGCTGATTCAACCTGGTCCAGCTGGCTGGAGCCACGGAGATGAACGTGCTCAGCTTAGTTCCTATTTTAACCTTTCCACTGCACAGGCACACAGACAAACCAGGTCTGACAGGACACACTGCTAAGCTGCCCTCTGAGGCTTTGACTACTGTGTTGTGATGAGCAGAGCAAAGTGTTGTCAGCTACTCCCTGGCAGTAACATCTCCCTGTTGGGCAATTAATGGGAGCTGTTCATGTCTGCAGAGTCCAAATACGTAGGGGGAAAAATATAGCTGTGAAGCACCTGGCGGTTCTTTTTTTTAATTCCAGTAGCTGGAGTGGGATGTAGGGCCCTGGAGGGAAAAACCAGATGCTGCCATCTGTGAGTGCAGAGATTTATGTACATAAAACATACACACACTTGAAGTGATGTTGGCCAGACCCTTCTTCCATGGCTGCAAGCGTCTTTCACCAGATGACAAACCAAGTAGAGAAGTTGCATGAAAAATATTAAGAAAATTGCCCCAGAGCCTCTGGTAACACTGAGGCAGATGTGTCCCACATCACTGTGGGACCAAGGATTCCTGTTTGTGGTCCCGTCTGCAAAAGCTGCTGCCATGGCTGCTCAGAGTGGCTCTGTGCCTCAGCCCCTCAGCCCTTTTGAACCCTGTGCTAGTCCTTTAATCTTTTTAACCCTCTCTCTTTGTGGTTTCTGCCTTCTGTAGAGAGTTGGTTTGCTCCGGGCCAAGATCACTTTTAGTTATTGCAGTGATTTGTACTGAGCCTTGCTCCGCTGCCAGAAGTGCCATATAGAAGAACTAAGAATACAATATATTAGTCTGCTAATGTAGCTGAACTGTGATACTTAAATCATGGGGATGCTGCCTTCTACCCAGCCTCCCTCAGTGTGCAGTTATAGTGTGGTGCGTTGTGACATTTCTTTATGGGCTAAAGGGCAATGCACAGCTCTCCTCTCACCCCTTTTAGCCTGCTAAAATACAGGCTCTTGATTTGCCTCCCTGGCAATGATTGGTGATTAAGTATATCTCGTAAACACGCCTTGTATTTTCCCAAGTACCCTCCTTAAACACAGGGCTTTCTGCCTGAAGTCATTTCAACCTGGTGTTTTTCTGGCTACGAGTCAAATCTCTCTCTGCCTCTGTGCTTCAGAGGCAGTATTAATTACACCTGGGAAAGCAAACAAAAATAATTAGGAGTACCATATCTATCTGAACACATCTGATATGGAGCAGGCTTTGCTACTCTTGGCATTCCTGAGATGAGTTTGTTTGGGTGTCACTGTTACCGTAGGGAAGTTGTACAGAGCTGATAAAATGGGAGCAGTTACCACATGCTTGCAGTGAGTACTTATCCTCTCATCCTTTCCTGGCCTTGGGGACAGCAGTGGGTCACAGGCTCTGCCAAAGTACCACATGGGCTTTTCCCAGCCCAACTACAGAAGGTAACTTGGTGGTTTGCAGTAACTCAGGGAATTCGTGTGGCACATGAATGAGCTGGAATGCCTCCATCCTGCTCTCTCTGCCTTGTGCAGCAGGAATCAGCCCATTCCCAACAGGCTTGGAAATGGCAGGGGTCAGACCCCTGCTTAAAACTTTGTTTTGGTAAATCCACTGTTGTCTAGGCTAAGAAAGATTCTGCTCTTTCAGCAGCTAATCAGTATGCTTTTATTCTCCTACTAGATTTCTGGAGGTGCTGTTAAGACCTGGAAGTCAGAAGACATCAAAGCCAACAATGTCCATATGGCTTGGCAGTTACCACAATACTTATTAATATCTGCTGGGGAGGTGATGTTCTCCATTACAGGCCTGGCCTTCTCCTATTCTCAGGTATTCCACTTAATGATATTAAGGGCTTACAATTAGACTTCAGGATTTATTCCTGCATCTGTCATTGACTTGTCATATGTCCTTTGACGTGACACTTACTAACGATGTTATCTGTGCTTCAGCTGAAAGTGGGATTGTAACACATCTTGCTGGGTGCCCTCAAGCTAAATTAATTCATATTCTGAAGATACCTGTTCTTAATGATACTTGGAAAACTCCTTATCTGGTAATCCTGAGAACATGGTACAGGATAGAAGTTTCTTTTAATGTGAAAGCTCTGAATACTGTAGTATCAGGGTTTACTCCCAGTGAAATATTTTGTGGTATGTATTTTTCAGTGATAAAAAGTCAAAGGTATCTCAAGGACTACAGGGTGGCATGGAGGCTTGGAATCTGCCTTAAACTGAGAGATTGAGGGGGTCTAAACCCACATGAGTCTGTAACAAGGGAGCACAGGGTAATAAGTGTGCAAGGGATGATTTGATTGTTGTTTGGGGAGGTTTATGGGAAGAGAGGACTGAGACATTACAAGATCAAAATGTTGAAGCTACTCAAATTTATCCTTGGAGTAAAGTGTAGATGTTTATTAATAAGGATGATTAATACAGTGGGATGATCTATAATGGGATGTGAATAATTTGTTATCAGCAGGAAGTTTAACATCAAGATCCAGTCTCTTTTCCAAAGGTGTACAGCCACGTAGCACCAGGCTCCGAGCTGCAGGGCTTCTGTGGCTCCTTGGACTTCCTGATCATACCATTTCAGATGATGCAGGTTGGGGATGACCAGGATTCAGCTCTGCAACAACAGCATCTCCTGCTTCTTCATGTGTCCTCCTGTCCATGTTTTGAAAGCTCCTTGTATGCAGCTGTTGAAGTTAACCACTCTGCACAGAGGAAATCCCACCACCTCCTCCCGGGCTGAGCCCAGTGACACCTGCACTGGGCAGGACATCACAGGGTGAACCAGCGCCAAAGGGCACAGCATGACACCCACTGATCAGGCCCTTCTCCTCTTTTCAGTCTCCAGCCAGCATGAAGTCGGTGCTGCAGGCAGGCTGGCTGCTCACAGTGGCTGTGGGGAACACCTTTGTGCTCATTGTTGCTGAAGCTGCACCAATGGCACAGGTACGGTTTGGCTCGTAAGACTGAGGTTAATGCTTTAAAACAGGCTCCTGGTGCTTCTGAATGTCTGTGTCCTGGAGGCACAGCTTCCCTGCACAGCCCCCAGCAGCTGAGGGATGGCAGCCCCCTCTGAGCTGCCTCCCAGCCCGTGCTCTGCGTGCCCCTCAGCAGCGTTGCCCTGGGGAGCAGTGGCAGTAAATTACAGTGACCTGCACTCTGATAGCGTTGCTGAAGCTCAGCTCTAGGCAAGCTGGCTGGATTTGGACCTGGAGCCTGGACATGGTGCCAGCCACACGTTGAGTTACTTACCAGGAACAGCTAGACCAGTGGGCAGTCAGCCTCCTCAAGGGTCTTGCTTGGGAATCCTTCCAGGCCAGCTGCCCGTGGCACCCCTGGGATGTCAGGATTATGTGGGGAGGTTGTGTTGCTGAGGTAGTTTAATTCAGGCCATCAGGCTTCTGGGATGATGCCATGAAGGCGTGAGCTGGGGATTATTTCTGGCTAACACAAAGCTGTCTCTCCCAAAAGCATCTTCCGGGCAGAAAGCCCAGGTAGATATGTTCTAGTCAGGACAAACTTGCAAGAAAAGATTTAATTAAACCAGCTCAATCTAACTGGTTTGTTTCAAGGTATATCACATATTCATAATTACATTATGTGTACAAGCATTTACTAGAAAACAGGATGAGAAAGTTTCCATCTTGTTAGCTATTTTGAAAACTAAAAAGTAATTTTCACCCAGCTCTTTAAAAAGCACTTGAAAGTGCAGAGATATCCTCTGGACTGAGAGTCTGGGGTCTCCTGACCTGCTCTTCTTTTTTCTTTCCTAGTGGGCTGAATTTGTCTTGTTCACTGTTCTCCTCTTTGCTGTGTGCATTATTTTCTCCATCATGGGATATTTCTATGTCAGTGTGGATCCAGAGGACCTAGAAGAAAAGGAAGAGAAGAGAGAGACCTCAAGCAGAGGAAACATGATTGGTCTTGTTACTCAGAAAACAAAGCTCTAACACATGATGGGTTGGGATTTTTTTTTAAACTCAGTTATGAGAGGGTAAAAGAAGGGTGGGTTCAGTGTTATTTTATTTTAGAGAATTGCAGTCTTTATTACACAAAATGTAGCCACCTTATAAATGGGACCAAATAGCCCTCTATAAAAACAATGGGGCTCCTGAAATCAGAGCAAAACGCCCTGGGAAAGCTCCTCTGGTATTAAAAGCCCTTATTAGTAATTACAGTGTAATTTGAAACCTGCCCATCTTTTTAAGCATGGAATGCTTTCCTATGATTTTCTCTTAAACATATATTTAGGGCAGCAGGGAGGAAGGGTGAAAGGAATGCTGTATGACAGAAAAATTTGGAGATGTCAGGAGAGAAGAAAGAAAACCTAGTGTAGGAGTTAGGGAAGAATAGATGTTAGTGACAGAAGAATTCTTAATGCTGTCATCAAGGACTGTAAGGGTTACACACACAGTCCCACAGGATTTCATCATGTAACTCTCCCTATGAGCATTTCATCCCATTATTGCATGTTATGAATGGTTCTGATTTATGATTTTCACCTCTGGCTCAGAAGTAATAACAGGGAATTAAATTCTGCAGGCTAAAATATTCCCAAAACACTACTGACAAAGATAGCCGTGCTACCATGTCTCCAATACCTACTTTTTCCTAGAAGTTTTTAGCAATTGATGGTGTTCTTTGATTAGATGTGATTAGAGAATTGGTTTATGCTTTCTTATTTCAGACTTCTAGACAGTTATTTGCCATCTCACTATACATTAAGCTGTTATTGGGCATTTCCTTTTACAGCATCTGTCACTGCAAGTTAGGACATGGTTGATTTCTTAGCTCTTACTTCAGTTATTCCCTACTGGGAGACAAGTTGCAGTAGTTTCTATAAAATTCCAGGCATCCTGTGGTGAGCTAAACAAGGATGCACTTTATCATTTTTTCAGTCTACAAGAGGAGACCATGGCATATGCGATTTTTCTTTTTTCTCCTTGTTTTTGTGTCTCTCTACCAAATTTTAGATATAGCTATTTTACTGGAACTGTGATATAATTGTCTGATTTTCCTTGATTGCATGAAGCTGTGATTTTATTGTCTGCATGGAAGTAATTCAGCCATTGCTGATCTAGTAAAACTTCTGAGAGAGACCCTGCCTTCCTCTGTCACTCCAAGGCTGCAACTGTAACAGGTATGGCCTAAATTAAAACCAGGTTGTCAGTAGGATCTTCAGGTTCACAGAGAATAGATTTTAAGTGATGCTTTCCTCTTCCATCTTGGCATTGGGCATAGGTGGTTGCTAATACTTTGATTCACAAAATCACGAGATACGCATTTAATTTCGTTCCTGTTCAGGACAGTGCTGGGCAATACACTTAGTTTGTCACCAGTGCTCCTTTAATGTGCTGCCTTGTGTGTATATGTCTTGTGTATGGTTTCTAACTGGAAGACTCACGGCCTAAGATTGTTTCCCCTGCTTCCTGTTCTTTACTGTTCCATGGTCATGGAATTCCACCACTAGTTCTGCACAAGCTCCTTCCTGCCTGCTGTGAAATAGCATCCAGGTCCTGTGCCAGAGGGGGACCATGGTCTCAGATAAATGGGAACAGGCTGTGGGTGTGCACGCACGAACACTTGGTGTGGTTCAGTCGATGCAGAGCCATTTATTAAGCTGTGTTGGCTGGATCCAGGCAGCTGAGCCCTGTGACTCTATGGGGAATGAAGGGCATTGAAAGCCATCTATTAGGTCATCCAACCTGCTTCTCAGAAGCCAAGTGAGGATTATTCCCCTCTGTTCCTTTCTGGTATTGTTCTCCTGCTGCGATTCTTTGTGTGGCTTCTTTCTCCTCCAAGCATTGTTTTCCTAATCCCATTTTATGATAAACTGTGAATCAGCTCAGAGGCTGCTGAATCATTCTGCTATGATGCTGTTTGACCAGCTTCCAACTTGAAGCACTAATAGAAAGCATTTCTTCTTTCACCCACTGCAAACAAAAATCCCCAAACTGAAGGAATGGCCAGGCTCCAGTTACACTGAACAAACACAATTTAGAATTATTGGAGCATTTAATTTTTTATAAGCCTAGAATTTGGAAGTATGTTGGGGTTCGAGGGCATATGTGGTGAGGAGACAATTGAAAATTATTGGAGCACTTTCCTTAGGAAACACTTGGTAAGCAGTTCAGAGTGGCACAAGGGAAAGCAAGGTATCCAAATCTCTAAGGCTACATATGCCTAAGAACTTCTTGATTTTTTTTATTTCCTTATTGGCAGCACTACCAGAAGCTGTCACACGCTCTTAGCTTTATTTAAAGGAAATGTTCCAAACTCATAAAAGATACATTTAGGATGTCATCTGTATCTGCTTTTTAGACTCCTGATGCCAAATTGCCCCTTTCCAAACATCTCCCTGTTCCAAACTATCACCATAATGCTGGGGGGAGGAAGAGTTGCAATTCACATTTGGGAAGGTTATGAACAGGAAGGCAATGTTATAAATAAAGTGTTAACATGAGGCTGGGGGCTGCTTCTGCAGCCCCTCCCAGAAATTGCTTGCTTGGGGGACTGTAGGGCTCTGTTCACATTTTCCTTCCAGCTGACACAATTACTTCTTCCCACCTGCTTGTCATGACCTGTTTGGAAACTTTGTCCTCCTCTAATCTGCCTGCTTGGTTGCTGGTGTGATCCTTCCCCACCATTTCAGCCACAGCTGTAGCTTTGCTAAATGAAACTCGTTTATTTGGAGTTGCACCAGCAGTGTGGAGGGATTTCCACTGGGCGTGCCCACAAACAGCCAGGAGCAGGATGGGGGCTGTAGTGACCAGCTGCCCCTGCTGTAGCTGAAGAAGGTGGCAAAATAGGCCATTCAGCGTAGCACTTCTCCAATTTTACAGCCACAACTCCAGTCTCAGAGCCCTTTCTTCACTTGCCATTGGACTCAGGACTGGATCAAAGATTTAGGATCTTATACTGTGCAGTAGTAAGGGCCTCTGTGGTTTTTTCCATACAGCCAGGTCAGAGACAGGGCCATGCTCATCTCTAACCTCCCAGTTTTAGGAAAATATTCCCTATTCCTCTCAGTTACTTGATTTAGGATCAGAGGGAGAATCCGAAGTATATGCATATGTAAAGCTCTATGACCCCCTACAGATAAGACTGGCCTTCTGCCAGTCCAGCTTCACCTGTCACTGAAGAGCTCAGCTGCTGGTGGAGTTTGCCCTGGAGCAGATTAGGGAAAGCTCACACCAGCTGACCTACAGAAATTACCATCTCCAGCTAAGGGACAGTAAAGAGGTGATGGGGAGCTGTAGGTGTGTTGCTGCACAAGCCTTCATGGAGATTCCAGGCTTCACTCTGAAACTATGTGTGTTTATCTGTTTTTTCTGGAGGGAGCTTTCTGATAAAGATTTTCTCTGCAGCACATTTCCTTTCATTTGCCCTGGCTGTTACCATTTTTCCCCTTAGCAGGTTGGAAGTGTGGCCAGTGTTACTTCCAGTTTTGCATGAGATAAGCGTAAAAATGAGATTTCAAACTCAGCAGAACAACGTCTCAGCTGTGGGTTCCTAAAATTTGCCTCTTCTTTCTGAGACAGTCAAATGCCTTTAGGTATCAAGCTTCTCTATATAACTAAAGTAGCTGGCATCTCTCATTTCTTCCATCTCCCTTTCACCACAGCCCCAGAGTTCCAGAAAATGAGTTTTAGAGGATTCCAGAAGAGGAGCCCTGGGAGGGCAGCATGGGACTGGCTTGGATGCAGCTGCTGTGTGTTGTCAGCACTGACTGGGAAGCACAGCCTGGCTGGGTCAGGAGCTAGTTCCTCTCTGGATACCCAAATGGGGCCTGGCCAAGTAGCCTGAGGCAGGGATTTTCCTGGTGTAAGATGTGGTTTCCTGAGCAGCGATCTGGATGTGAGTTAACTGTGAAAGTAAAATGTGAGAGAGTGAAAGGAAAACTTTTCACTGTACTTGGCTTTGGCCAGAGACATTTTGCAAGGAGGCTGCAGACTGATGGGCAGGAAGGAAAGGGCTGTTTGGTCAAGGTCTTCCCAGTTCCTCAGTGAACAGCTGAAGTTACTCACACTGAATTAACTGGAGAAAATATGAGATGGGAGAAGTGGAAAGCTCAGATGATTAAACAGTGGATGACTTCAGACCTTTCAGAAAAGGGCTCTCCTGGCTGGTGGTGAAGGGCCACTGGGAGAGGTTGTCACCCATGGTTTGAAAAACAGGTTCATCATTCCAGAGTATTGCAAAAATCCTGGAGACTGGCAGTGGTGGGTCTGCAGTGACTGGAGGAGGGACATCCTGGCAATGTCCCCACCATCCATGGCAGCCACCAGCTTGGCTACCCCTTAGGACAGAAAAAAACAGCTGATTGGGTATTACAGATGGGATTGGCACAGGAGGGAGAGCCACAATTAGGGATGGTTAACAAGTTTGAGTCAGGGTTATACACAGAAGGATAAACTCCTTTTTTTCTCTCTGTTGAATTTATTTGCCGAGCTACAAGAAACGCTTTCTAGCACCAGCTGCTTAAACTCGGGAGTTCAGCTCCATGGCAAATACCATGAATTTTGGATGGTACCAGACTCTGCATTTCATTATCACTACATTTCTTATTGTGATACAATTTTAAAATGGCATTTAAGAGATGTCTGGTCCCAGATGTTGACAGATCTAGCCAGGGTTTTGCATGTTGATGGCTGGATTCACTAGCTGTTGATAGTCTTTCACATTGACATGTGCAATGAACCTGTCACGTACAAGTAGATGTTGTAGGGCCCTTGGATGTCTCCATCAGTTTAGGGAAAAACCCACAAAATTTCACATAAAGGTAGCTAAACATGAACTGCTTCCTTGTTGGAGCTGCCCATGTGCTTTTTAAAGCAGGGACCCTCATTCATCCCTTGAAGAGTATTCCCCAGAGAGACAGAAGTGGGGACATTTAAACATTTTACCATGAGAAGGGCTCATGTTGCATTATGGAAATTGCATGAAGGAGAAGAATTGCTTTGCTTGAAATCCCTCCTTCCTCACCATCTGAGGTGGACAACATGGTTTGAAACAGGTTGTTTCCTAGTGAGCTTCTGCATCTTTTAAAGGTCTCTCCATGCTGTGTTTTACTAGCAGATCAACATTAACCTGGCTCTAGCACCTACAGATCAGAAGACTGTCAGGATGCAGTCTCCCGCTGTCGGCTGATCAACTCTGATCTCTTCATTTTTAATGAATAGTTGTAGCAGTTATCCTGCAGGGCTCAGTCAGAGTTGCTCCAAATTTAGGCCTCAGCTAAGGACCTGAGAGAACTGTAATCAACAAGATAAATAGCTGAATTCTCAAAAACCAGCTGAAACACTGGCTTAGTGCTTAATTAAAATTTTAATATGCTTAAGGAAAGTAAAAACCCAAACCAGAATTTAGCAATGCGGTCAGAACAATCAGGAGCTACAGTTGGAATCCAGCAGCATGGCAACTGGTAACCAAGATCAGGACAAAAATCAAGCAAAACATCCCTTTTTAGATTATTTTATGTCATTGCATATGTTGTTCAGTCTGCTCGGCCTGTCCTGTTCAATCAAGCCATATGTGTAAGGAAAAGAAGCTGAACTGACTTGTTGAAGCCCTGTACCCTTCCCCAGCTACAGCTGGGTTTTCTTCTTGTTACAGTCTCCCAAGTTAGACTCCTTTCACTAGCAGTCAGTCTACTCTGTCCCATCTTCTGGTCTTTACTCCCCACAAGTCGCTCAGACCTCTGACAGATGACTTTGCCAGCCCTCAGCATCTTGCTCACTCTTCCTCTCATGCAGCCTCCTTGTTGCCAGCAGCAGTGTGTTTTCTTGGGTAATGCTGCCCAATTTTCCACATCCAGAGAAGCTGCTCATTTACAGGAGTGCTGTGTCTGGACAGAAACCATGCAGAGCCAGATGTCTGGGTGGTTGGTAACAGGGCATCTGCCCGGGCTTGCTTTGGCTCTGGCTTCTTGTCACAGCCCCATATGGCCTGACACATGTAAGCAAGTCAGTTCAGAGCACAGGGGTTATCCAGCATCTCCCTCCCATCTATCCTGTGCCCAGTTAGCTGCCCACAGTCAGCCCTTTTGCTGTGCCAAGTCATGCCACAGGGACTTCTGGACTGAGATGCTGCTGTTTCCAGCCACGGGGCATCTGTTTGTGCTCTGTGGCCATCCCAGGCTTGACCGGGGTGCTTTAAAAGCCAGTGTCAATGTTTTGTTGAGAGATCTGTGTTGCTGCTGTGTATAACCATGTGCTGCCAGGCTTCAGCTTCTGAATCTGCTGGTCAAGGAGCAGCAGGCTGTGTGCCTGGACAGAGCTGGTCCTGACAAGGGGACCTGTGCCAGTGCTGCTCACCCATGGCAGGGCACTTTGTGCTCCTTCCTTCCTT